TCCAACATATTCTGTAACAGAAGATGCAAAATCTCATCCTCAACATATTGCTAGCATCAAGTACTTTAAGTTTGAATTATAGACATTCTGAATGAAACCTGAGAACCTACACAGACACCCGGAATGAAAGTTGTGTGGTACATTTACTAATAATATTATAATATTAAAATCTGTGCCCTCTAGGGTTTTGGAAGAGTGCAGACAAGCCAAGAGCAACATGGAATGTTTGCTGTACAACACGGAGAGAAGAAAAAAAACAGCGATGTGTGGCCCTGAGGTTTGCTGCTGTGCACTTTACAAATAACTGATTAAATGTTTCACTGTAATTTTGCTGTTCTCAATTTTATTTCCTGTTTTTGGATATTGCAGAGTGGCACAGCTACCTCACAACTCAACTGCTCCCTTCGGCCAAGCAAAAAAAAACAGCAGCGTCACTCCTATCAAACCCGCTCAGCTCAAGTCCGCCGTCCTGGGAGCCGAAGCCAACGTTCCAGCCAACGTTCCAGCCAACGACAAAACTCTGACAGTCAAATAGAGTCTGGCAGTGAAGGAGATGTATGTCTGGGCTTAACCTTTTTCTAACAAAAACTTTCAGTGAAAGGATAACTAATTAAGTCATTATTAAGTCACAAAAAGCAGAAATAGTGCATTATCCAAACATTAATGCACTTCCATTTTAATATAAATTAAAAGTAAAGACATTGTCAAATAGATTAGGTCTTGGTCATGGTCTTAAATGTTTCTTTCTAGAGCCTTTTTTCTATGACAGATGCTGCTGATTATAAGCCTTTTTTCTATGACAGATGCTGCTGTGTGATTATGGGTAATAAATGTCATAAATAGGCAAAACTGTACCATCAACAATAACTGCATTACCCTGTCAATAGTAAAATATCAGTCAAAAAATGAAACTGTGTGTTTGCTGACAGGCGGAAGAACAGGCAGAGCAAAGTGATGTGTCTGCAGATGGTGAAGCTCGTTGGCAGAGCGAAAGCAGTTCTAGGTAAAATTATTAAAGCGAGCTAAAGCGAGTTATTCCTCATGTGATCCGGTCGTTAACCAAACACATCTCTAATTTTTAGTGACTCCTCCAGTGAATATTCTGATTGGACAGCGGACGCTGGAATCAATCTCCAGCCACCAAAGCGACAGAGCAGAAGGCCAGTACAGCGTCCAGGTTACAGCAGCTCCGAGGAGGAGGAAGGAGGCGATGGTGAGGCGAAGATGGAGAGAAAGAAAGAGAGGAAGAAAGAAAGTGAAAAAAAGAAGACAACCAGGGATCGACAGGTAAGTCGGCCTGGATTTAAACTTTGGGACTCACTGACTACAAAGCTTTGTAAAACAGCTTATTAACTGATCAACTTGTGTTTTAATACATGGACATGGACATGTTTAGAAACCCACATCTTCTCTGGGTGGACTTAAGGCTGAAGAGTGGCTGCCTCCATCATGGATAATTGAGACTATTCCACACCACTCTCCCTTTGTTCCACAAATGGGGGATGAGGTAGATTGTGACTCATGACACTGACTGGAGTGATACATAATGCTCTATTTGTTCCAAATATTGTGCTTTGTCCTCTTCAGCTCATCTACTTTAAACAAGGACACCAGGCCTATGGCAATGCTGTTCGCAGAGCCAAGGCATACAGTATCAACCCACAGAAACAGGCATGGAACAGACTTAATCTTAGGGTAAGGCAATCTTTGAGGGAGCACACAAACCTCAGTCCTCAGTTTGGTCCCTCAAACCAGTGGTCACAGTAGTGGCCTCCAGTCAAAAACTATTCTTACTTGCTGAGATTGTGAACCTTTAACATGATTTAAGCCATTCTTAAGGGTGACTATAGAGTGATTGTAATCATGAAGTTCATATATTTACATAGAGTAGGTGTTAGAATGTAACAGTAAGTGATGACATTTTTGAAAGTACTAACTTTTACTTCTGCATGTAAACAAACATACACTTTCATTAAAATGTAAACAAATAAAATCATATCCATGTGTCTCTTAACTTGTGAAGCTAGAGATTGAGGTTTTTACCTCATTTTTACTTTTATTGCCTTACAGGACCAGGAGTCCGTAAAGGTGACAGGAATTAAGTATGAAGTGGGACCGCCCACCCTGTGCTGTCTCAAACTGACTTTCTTAGACCCAGTCTCTGGAAAAATGACCAACGAGTCTTTCTCTTTAAAGTAAGCTTTTATATTTAGCATCAACAAACTTCATGAACTTTCTTACTATCTAACAATTAATATATGTCCCTACTTTTTCTTTACCCAGGTACCATGACATGCCTGATGTCATTGACTTTCTGGTGCTGCAGCAGTTTTATAACGAGGCGATGGAGCGCAACTGGCAGCCGGGTAAATCAATTTTTATCAGGCATTTGAAGCACAGTGTGCAGTGGCATTATTGACTGATGTAGCATGATTACTGTCCTTTTCCCTTTTATACATTGTCCTTCACAGGTATGAGGTTTCGCAGCATCATCGATGATGCCTGGTGGTTTGGCTCTGTGGAGAACCAGGAGCCTCTGCAGTCAGATTATCCAGACAGTCTCTTCCAGTGCTATGAAGTCAAGTATGTCTGTGTGTCTGCTGAACATGTAGCAAAAGTCCTCTGTTAATATGATAGTCATCTGTGATGTTGTCTACATGGTGTATATACTGAGCTGGAATGTATAATAATGTATTTTCTGTCATCAGGTGGGATAATGGTGAGCGGGAAAAGATGAGTCCCTGGGACATGGAGCCTATTCCTGAAGAAGGTAAGTGGCATTGATTTGAGAATAAGCTACCATGTGTGCGACTCTGGGGTTTCTTTTGTTTATAGTGCTGAATCTTTAAATATTTCTGTGCTCAGAATTTATTCTTTTAGTTTATATGAATTAATCTATATATTTAACTTATCTTAGCCCTTTTAGCTTTCTGTTCAGATATTTTAGGGGTATTTCGTACAAATAAAAATATATATCTGTTTTTCATCAGCTGTGTTGCCAGAACAGATTGGTGATGGTGTGGAAGTGGCAGAGGAGGAGCTGCAGGCTCTGCTGTACAAGCCTCAGGAAGGAGAGTGGGGGGCTCACACACGGGACGAAGAATGTGAGCGAGTGATCCAAGGCATTGATCAGCTTCTTACATTAGGTTGGTAACATTAGGTCACGGTGTGTAGTCTGGGACTTTGGTCACATTTGCAGCTCTGACCTAGATTTTCCAAATATCCCCAGATGTTGCAAAGGCTTTCATACTACCTGTAAATCTGCAAGACTACCCTCTCTACTGCACTGTTGTGGCTTACCCTACTGACCTCAGCACCATCCGCAAACGTCTTGAGAACCGCTTCTACAGGTGAAGCCACCGCTTGAAATTCTATTTTCTCTTGTATAATTACTTGAATTAAAACTAAATTCTGTCTGTAATGTTGTTGTTGTCGTCGCTGCAGGCGGATCTCTGCATTAATGTGGGAGGCACGATACATTGAACACAATGCCCGCACTTTCAACGAACCCCAGAGTCCCATTGTAGCAGCTGCCAAAGTGGTGACTGATGTTCTTCTCCACTACATTGGGTAAAACTTCCCTGAAATACTAGTCTTATCATCTTTAAATCTTTTACAAGACATTTCCATTAAATGTCTTTTACTTGCACATAAAAAGAACACCAGCCCTATACACTCTCAGAACTGCAAGATAAAGATAAAAAGATCCCTGCCCGACCGTATCTTTAATTATTTTTTTATAAAAAGTTTCATACAACAGGTGTGATGTAGGTGTAAGGAGGTTATATGTTACTGTGACCTTTATGTAATTCCTGGATCCTTTGTCTTCTGAAGGGACCAGAGTTGTACAGACATCCTGGATCTATATCACCGCCTGCGGTGTGAGGTCAGCAGTGGAGAAGAAGCCGAGGTCAGTCACAGTACATGACATGCAGTTTTTGTTATTAGTCTTTATGCTGCATATGCTCATTTGGGCTTTTCCTTCTTCAGGCTGAGTTGGATGTTGACTCGGACACTCCGGGGACATCTACAGGATATCGGGTTAGGACAAGAGTGCAGCGCAATGCAACAACCTGTCTGGACTGTCCCATTGATTCAGTTACTATCACTCGAAGCTGCAGCACGGGTTTATTTTATTTTTTCTTCTCAACAGGGATCCGGCTCTGCTTCAAATCGTGGTGTACCTTTGAACGCAAAAGTGTGGAGAGGTCAATGTCAACAATTGCTGCGACAAATGATTGTCTCCCCAGACTCGGAGCCATTCAGGCAGCCAGTGGATCTCTTTGAGTATCCGGTAAAATAATCTTTAAGCCAATAAAGATGAGAAACACTTAATACATGTGACTAAGTAATTATTATGTTTTTACAATGGTAAGGTTAGCCTAATGCAGCATTCTTTACCAAATATTTATATACAAATGCACTTCTCACCTTTACGTTCATCAATTAATTATTCAGGACTATCGTGACATCATTGACATGCCGATGGATTTGGCCACAGTATCTGAGACGCTTGTTGCAGGGAACTATGAAAACCCAATGGAGTTTGCCAAAGACGTTCGCCTTATTTTCAGCAACTCAAAAGCATACACACCAAACAAGAAGTCACAGGTAAAACTCATTTCAGCAGCATTGGGAACTTAAAACTTATTGCAGTCCTCCGAGGCATGCTCATGCTGTACTGTTATTTGTCTCTCTAGATCTATACGATGACCCTCAGCTTGTCGGGCTTTTTTGAAAAAAGCATCATCTCCATCATCTCTGACTTCAAGTCTGCGGTTCAGAATGAGCGTCGCTCACTTCAAAGGCTCAGTTACAGGAATAGACTCCACAATGGAGGCAGCTCTCCTCCTGTCAGTCCTTCGTCAAGGTACTGAATTTCACTATGCAATTATCAGATTTTAAATTAACTTTTTTTTTATAAACTTTCGTGTGAGATAACTGATATAAAGGATGTTCTTTATTACAACTACAGTGAAACCAGGGTGATTTTAATTTTATTTATATCTTACATCAATTCAACAGTTTTATATAGAGACTAATGTTGGTTTTTTTTTTTATGTCTTCTTGCTGAAAGCTCTAAAGGGAAGCACATTTCAGGGAAGTCATCAAGACAAAAAACATTGTCAAAGAGACATAATGATGGTAGGACCATATTACATGAGTTTCATTCCATTGTTAGTTTTATCTTTATCATTACTTATACGTCTCTGTGTGCTGCTCCAGCTCAACAAACCAGCCTTGGTGAATCAGAAGAGGAGAACTCCCCCTCTTCCCCAGATTCAGGAACAAGCAGTGGGAACAGAAACCAAGGGTCGCATTTGATGTTCAGTCACACAGCTCCAGTTAGGAAACCAGGTAACACAAGTGACTGGTTTTATCTACAACAGAATGCATGTGAGATATTGAGCTGGTCATTAAAAAAGATTTGGAGAATTTGGACATAAAAACTTCCAATTCATGATTCGGTCAGTACGATCTGATTTGGTTATAAAAATGAATTAAACAGATTCCCACCTATTAAAATTCTGTTATAATTAACAATAATGAGCCACATCTGTCTGTATTGTATCAGAACGACGAAGTCATTTGAGTAATGGATCCAGACGGGCCCCAGGTGGAGGCAAGCTGAGGTCAGACAAGAAAGAAGCAGCAGCAGCAGCACCTGGATCCAACAGCCTTTCTTCAGAGTCATCCTCCACCTCTTCTTCTTCGTCGTCGTCGTCGTCGTCATCCTCTACATCATCATCAGACAGCGAGAGCAGCTCAGATTCAGAGGCAAAGAAGTATTTGGAAGGAGGAGATCATGACTACAGTAAAGCTCCCTGTCTGTCCAAAAATCTGTCTGCTAGAGGTAAGATGCCTGTCTCAGGGAAACGAAGACACAAGGGAGAGGACAGTTCTGCACAGAAGCAGAAAAGAGCAAGAGTGCAGTCTTCTGCGGATGAAGAGGAGGAAGAGGAGGAGGATGAAGAAGATAACGAAGTGCAGCAACAATTAGCTGTAAAACATGAGGAAGAAGAAGAGGAGGATGAAGAAGAGGACGAGGAGGAGCCTGAGGACCAGCCTGGGGGGGAGCTTGAGATGGAAGAAGAGGAACCCGAGGAGGAGGATGAGAAGGCTGAGGAAGATGATGAAGAAGATACGGAGGAAGATGAGGAGGAAGATGAGGCTGAGGAAGAAGATATCGCTGAAGGACAGAGTGTGGTGGCTCCAACACAAAGGTGTCTAAAGGGTAAACAGTGCAAATCTCAGGGGGTCAAGACACGGAACCAGGGCCGCAGGACGGTAGTGTACGGAGCAGAGTCAGAGGACGATGGCCAGGGGTCCAAGCAGGACCCTCTTAACCTGGGCATGTCCCGCTCTGGACGAGTACGCCGTATGACCGAGAAGGCTCGTGTCAGCCACCTCATGGGCTGGGGTCACTGACGACCTGCCAAATTCCAAACCTCAAAATAAGAGTTAATATTTCAGGGATTTTTTTAATAGTTGTACGAGTCTGTCGATTGCATTATAAATACAGATGTGTGTGTATATAAATAAATGTATATATGTGCTGGGTTTTGAGACGGGACTCTGAAACTAAAAGCTGGTGCTTATGACATGTTGCCACGGAGTTTTTGTCTCTGGTGAACAGAGCTGCTGTATAACACAGTGTCTGTGGCAACTGGACTAACTCACCTGGGCCTTACTGTTCACTGGAAGAGCCTTTACGATGTAGCTCTGCTCCTCCTCCTCCTCCTCCTCATCTTGTGTGTTTCACATCCAGTGATGAAAAACCTCTGCTCCTTCCCATCCCTACGACCACTTCCTACTCCACATTCCTAGTGAATGTGAAGAAGCCAAAAGAAAAACCCCTGGTGCTCATATGTGTATATTTATTCAGTAGTTGGTCGTAGATTCACTGAGCCACAGAAAGTAGACACTGATGTCAATGATTTTGGTCTTTTTCTATTAAGGCTGTCACTTTTTTGTTTTGATTAAATCGTTTTTTAAATACAAGGAGAACAATTGAAACGTCAGAGTTATAGCACCACTCGAGTGAATATTAAACCATTAAAAGTCAATTTCGTTGCGATCCAGCAGAGTCACACTTAGCACAGCTTTACCTCAGAGACTCTGGGTTCAAAACACCAAAGTATGGTAAAAGTAGCAGAGCCCCACAGATTAGTACTGGAGCTCCACACCACCACTACAGTTTAGCTTGTCAATCAAACTTGTTTTTCACTAGATGGTTCACCCACACCTACTACAACTTTGATTCTGCTCACACACTTCAGCATATATACTACCAGAAAATTACAAATACAATACAAAAGGCCGCAGCTGTAATAGTTTTGGAAGGATAAACATACAATTCTTTATTTTTGTACTTGTTTTTGTTTGTGAAATAACTGCTGTCTTTTCTGGGCTTTATTTTCTATACAGCTTGGCTTCACACTGCTTTTCACAGAAACAGTCAGGAAAAAGTCTGTGTGCTCTGAACAAGGCCTAAACATGCTGTTGATTATACTGAATGTTTTTTGATTGACAGAACTTTATTAATTGAATTTGCATTACCTCTTGTAAATTCATTGCTCAAATAATTATGCTGTCAAAGACAGGACCTTTGATGGCATGTCGCCCTCTACTGGCACAACACAGATAGCATTTTTATATGAATCACAAATGAACCATACTTAGCTCTATAAGTGATCAAATTAACCAGCATCAACTTGTTTTGTTTTTTAAGTCAAACCAAGTACTGTCACATGAGTCACTGACTCCTCATTTTACACAATTGTAGAGTGGATTTGTTTGGTTGCAGACACCCTTGTGTTAAATGATGGGACAACACTTCTATCAAAGAGCTGTTTTTTTTTTTTTTAATGTTGACCAGAACACTTTGCAAAGGAGATGACCTGAAGCCTGTGAAGCTGTGCACTTCCAGGAAAATATGTCCTCTGCTTCTCTTTTAGCCTGTGTCTATGGTCAGACTCACCAGATTATAAGAAAGGCTGTACGGGATTTCATCAAACACCAATCAGATCTCAGATATGAGCTGAAGTAGCTGTGTTTGTATTCATGTGTCTTCATTTGCCACTTGGTCTCATACAGTAGTTGTCACACAGCAGCCCACGATTGTTTAGTCTGTTCCTATAATGAGGATCTACAGACTTTGGTGCTCAGAACTCAAAACATGAATTGGTGTTTTGGATGCAGCTAATGGCAGTAATCTCAAGTATCATTAGTGACAGTCATCACCAATGGGGTTTGGATCTTTTTCCATACATGCAATTTTCTTCAACATTAATTGATGACAAACACAACAATTTTTTTTTTACTATGAGTGGAATACCCATACATGACTGTCTTTTATATGCAGTTTTTTTTTATTATATAATTTTTTTAATAAAAATATTTTTAAATAGTTTGTACAGTTTGTCTGGCTGCTTGGATTCCTTGGGTGTGCTCAAAGTTTAACAATTTATTTTGGATTAAGTGCTTGACATTTTTCAGTATTTCTTTTACAAACTTATAAAGGGTGGAGTACCTGGGGGCTTGGTAGTTCACCTGTCGCCAGTAGACCACTGGCTTACAGGGTTATGAAATCACATTGTGGCCTGAATGTCTTCATGCCAAAGGACTTTGTAAGTGAGCCAGTAAAGAACATTGAACATGAGAAAGCTCATGGGAAAAAGTGCACGTGAAATGGTGTCGATTCTTTTTGCACGATCGACAAAGCGCTTGCGAATGTCATAGAAACCCAGGCCAGGAGGCAAATCGGCAAACACTGGTGCATCCATATCAGGTACGTTTCTTGCTGACAGTGCAAATCCGAAACTCTGGAAGAGTATGTCCTGCTGTTCCTGCTCCTCCTGGATAAAAGAGAACAAACAGTCAGTGCCAGAAATGAAGTGATAAATGTTTTTATGTGTTCATTATAAATTCTGAAAGTTCTGTAACATTATTTGTAATAAAATGTATTGCCAACTACAAAAAACAGTTTAGAGAATATAATTTTGGCATCATTTAAAAAAAAAAACGAGAACATTTGCATTTAATAAGCGTCATTGCATTGACTATGGTCTAAGAATTATTTTTTTAATCATTTGACATAGGTTTCATCATATATCCAATTTGGTTTGTAGCAATAGCTGTCAACTTAGCTGTGAGCTACAAACGTTTTGATAACAAGTTGTTTGCTAGATTTTAACTGAAAAATACAACAGTGACAACCTGAGAACAGACGCTGCACTGCTGGGCGTTTCCCTGAGGAACACCGCTGCCTGATGTGTTGTTTCCTTTTCCTTTACCATTTCCCTGCTGACAAGGTGGGGAAAAAACATGGAACGTGAATTAAACGATCAAAGAGACTGAACTACATATATTTATATATATGTACAGTATCTATATTTAAAAACCTGAACATAAATGAATAATTATCATCCAGTCTGACTGGACAGGCTTCTCCTCTCATGAAAAAATAAACCTGCATAAAAAAACAACCTGGTGCCAGCGCCAGCAAACCTTAACCAATAGGAAATCAGATATCACACATTATGTGGTTCTGCAAAAACTTGAAATGAATCATTAAGTGAAGGTTTTGTTTTGAGGTGTTAAAAAAATCTAAAGAATCCTGCATCTTTGCAGCAAGATGTTGGGAATATTCAGAGCGTGGAGTTCTATACAGGTCACCGCTGTCTGTTTCTCCCTGTACGAGGACGTCGTACATTTGAGATGCAGAGATGAGCAACATGGAACGGCGAGTGGCAGCTGCCCAGGGGGCTGAGTGCTTGAGTGGGCGTGTTGTACTCACAGCTTTCTGTCGTCGTTGCTCCCTGAGCTTTTTCCTCAGTCTGAAGAACTCCTTGTGCTGGCGGGAAACAAAATTAACAGCTGCGTACTCCAGCAGTGCAGCGAAGACGAAGAGCAGACAAACGGCCATCCAGATGTCTATGGCCTTCACATAGGACACCTGCAAAACCCCACATCTGTTACATCACACTGACTGTAACATCACACCAGTGGCTCTCAAACTGTGGTACACGTACCACCAGTGGTACACAAGCGCTCTCTAGTGGTATGTGTGGAAAATTCATATTTTCACATTTACATTTTCAATTGAATAAATCTTAAACATACCATTACAATTAATACAACATTTAGAATAAAATGTGTAGCTACTTGTGTGGTTATGAAATATGAAGCCAACAGGGAAGGCCTATTCTGCTTTATAGTTACTCAGAGAGCTCAATGTTTTCTCAGGTGGTACAGAGTATAAAAAGTTGCAGAACCACTGCATGACACTGACCGATCGAGAGCAAACTAATGATCATCTTATGAACGGTATCAACCTTTGGTAAGGAAGCCCTGGACCCAGAGCTCTGTGTTGTCATCGTCAGCACCGTAGTGATGCCCAGTCCCACTCTGGCCGGAGCTGCGTCCATGTTGATCCAGAACGACACCCAGGACAGGATGACGGTGAGCAGGCTTGGAATGTACATCTGAATGAGGTAGTAGCCCATCTGACGATCCAGGTAAAATCTGACCTCTATACAGGTGAATTTCCCTGAAGACACAGACGCCCACAGTGGCTGACAGGGTTTCAGTGATAGACTGGTGCCGTTCTAGATCACGGTCTGTTGGTTTGTACCTGTGTTGTAGTGTTTGGTGCAGTAGCCGAGGCCCTGCTCCTCTTTTAGTACAAATTGGGGGAGGGTAAGGTCGTCTGCCACCTGGACAGCCCCCACATCCAGCCATTCAAAAATAAGATCATTCATGGTGTATCCAACTGGAAGAGAGACATGAAAGATATTTTTTTTACGGATTGTTGCACATTCTGTACTTAGCGTTGCCGTTACTGACCACTAGTTGGCGACAGGGATGACTCATACTCCACATTCAGTGTTGCCTTCTTCAGTAATGGAAATCTCTTGTACAGATTTACGAGAGAGTGCAACCCACAATAATTATAATTATGTAGTTATTATTATTTATTTAATATATTAATAAATCATTATATATTCTTAATTAATTAGCAAAACGTTTGTGTGTCTTGAAATGTGTTATATATAAGGCAACATGCCCCTCTCAAAGCAAAAACATAATTATCATTGACGATCATCTGTTTAACTGTATATAAACTGACCAATACTACCTCAGTAAAATATAATATATAATTACAGCAATATATATGTATATAACAATACACGCAGATTAAACTTTACTTTGACAGAACGACTGGAACTTTGATAGCAATGTTAGCAGCACATTTGAAAAGTCAACTTACAGCTTTCAAGCTGCATGATACACGTTTGACTGTCCATCGGGAAGTTTTTCAAATTCATGGGACATGACAGAGTTAGTGTCAACCTGGAAGAAATAGAAATAAATGAGTTATAAATATTTTTTAAAAATAGAATAAAAATAAACAGACTATATAAAGATACAAAAAATATTGAAAGAGAATGTAAATATTGTGCTAGAAAAGTGTGTGTAATGTGATTATTTGGAAAACAATTGACTTTAGATGAGATAATAGTATAGAAAGAGCACAGGTTAAAGTTACTAACTATTCGCATTTACCTGTTAGCATTTTATGTAAAAATTGTTAAAGAAACTGCATGTTAGAATTCAAGGTATAGACGTGCAAATAGTTAAAGAGATATTGATCTAATCGCTTTAATCTTGTTTACACTATAGCTCTACATTGTTCCCTTGGGCTCCAGTTGTTTCACAGATCTGATGGACACACATTGACTGGTTTAGCAGGATTTCTAGTTCAAATGCACTATTACCTGATGCTGTAAAGAACGTTTCCATTCTGGAATATGCGAAGAAGTTTGTTGTCTGTCGTGACCTCATGAAAGTTTGCTCCCTTCTCATTTGCAAAGAACAAGTCTGGTTTCCAAATAGAGTCCAACATGGAGGGATCCAAGTCCAGAGAGTCGTCAGGATACTCCTTGTACGCCAGCCGCGGGTCATTCCACTGTTGTCTCAGGAAAATGTTGAGTCGATAATCCTTAAATACAGAGGGTTGACACACTATGAAAAGTACTGCCCTGTGTTTGGTGCAGTGACCATGTATGTATGTCTAAAGATTTTAAAATGAACTTATGAAGCAACTACATAACTACATCCTTTTTTTTCATCTACGGTCTGTAGCAAATTCTCACCATTGTTGTTTCAGTGATGGATCCAAAGCTGTTTATAAAGATGTTACAGGTGACGTTGACAGGAGGACCTGACAGGAGCAGAGTGGTATTAGCACAGAGGCTCAGTCTGTCCCTTTCAAAATGTAAAATTTTAAAAATTTTAAAATTACTTTGTAGAATTTGTTTTTGCTGAGTATATATATACAGTATATGATATATGTATTTGGTGGCACATCTTCTAATGTACAATCATTTACTGACTCTACTCTGTTTGCATGTATTTATTTGTGGAAAACTGGTGAGAATTGACTCGACTTGAGCAACGTGAAGTATAAAATATGTGTGACAACTGACCCAACGGCCGTAAGACAGAGGGGGAACGTCAGAAAGAATCTGTTGGCCTTGCAGACCGCCAGAGTTCAGTCGTAGTCAAAGGCCATTTGGGTTATAAAAAATAAGTGCAGTTGTGCAGGAGATGAGACTAACAACCTACAGCTGTAGGTCAGTAGAGAATCAACAGCAGCAGTAAATGACTAAACAAATACTCCGCAGGGAAATCCTCGAATGACTCATCCGTGAAAGTTTCCTGTTGCTTCTCTGCACAGTTCACACTACACTGAGCAGCATATTTCCTTAACATCTGCCCTGAAGCCGTCCTTCTATGCGACACTACGCACCAAAATGATCACAACTGGCATGTCTAACGCGAAGCAGAAGACGTTACTCTAGACAAGCTTCTGCACTTCATGCCAGACAACCAGAAAGAGACGTACTATAGATCATAGATAAGGACAAGAACAGTCAAAGGATGCTCTGTGTGAATTAGAGTTGCCCTTTAACCCCACAACGGGGTTCCAAACAAATGCCACAAACAATGACCTCATTATGTCCATAATGTGAGGAGCAGCTCCAGACCATTATGTCCATAATGTGAGGAGCAGCTAGGAGAAACTCTATGTGAAGCGTTTTTTCCAGAACCCACATGACATATAGAATTAAGGAATCGGACCAACAACCATTCACACACACACGCAAATGTTACCTTTAAAGTTTGGTCTAATGCGGGCGTCATAACCAGATGTGCACCCCATAAGTTTGTCCAGAAAGTCAGACGGAGACGGAGGCTTGACGGTCTTGCTGGTAAACTTGGTCTCCTTACAGAGCACAGACCTGAAGGAGAATGATGCCACTCTGAACCTTTCACTTCAGGGTCAATTTTAAAATATATATATATATATAAAAATATATATATATATATATACATATATGTATATATATATATATTCCTTTTTTTCGTGTGGCAGCGCAACATTGTTTTTACAGACCAATAATATTTACATTAACTGTCACTATTTTCTCTCTCTAAAATAAAATAACTCTAAAATAAACGTGTTAACAGTAAAACAACTAAAGCCAAATTTTAAACCTCTTTTTTTTTTGTTATCTTAAGGATATTTTCTAGTTCAATAAAAAACCTTTGACCTCGCAGAATAGAACTGTTTTGTATCAATAATTATATTATAGAAATAGTAAATGAACATACAGGAAGTACATTACTGTCACAAATCCAGACGGAGCATTCCCAAATCAGGAAAAAAAATAGGTCCATGTTTGCTTTTCTCTTACCTGCATTGTAGAAAAATGTTGGAAGAGAACCACATCACAGCACAGATGTGCAGCAGCATTCCTATTTCCCAGGAAGACCACAAGATGAGAGAAAAGGTAAAACAAAAGTGGACAGGAGAGCTATTATTTTACTATTTTCTTTGTCCTGGTTGAAGTCCGTCTCCACAGTTTAAATGATTGAAAAATGTTCTTTGAAAAAAACAAAACAAAACAAGATGCTCCCATATTATTAAAAATCTGTTTTCTTTTTCTTCTAATCAGCCTGTGTTTGTGCGGCTGACTTCAAGCTTTATTTCTTTTTAATGGTCACATACATGCTGAAGGAAACGCTGGAAGAGAATTTAAAGAGACAGGACACTTTTCCCAGATGTCGCTGGAACACTTTAGAAAAGGAGGGGGAGTTTGAGCGGTCTAATGGTGAGACCGTAGAAGACTCCAAAACTTTCTCAAAACAAAAACAAAATAATATCAAAGAATTATTATATTTACTATATATTTATATTAATTAAATACATGTTGTTTATTTTATTGTGTTTTGCGATGCACTTCAGCTCCTCTCAAACACACCCTCACACAGATCACTTTTACACTGACCTCCGTTTGTTCTGGAGAAACTATCCTTGCTGCCATCACTTGGACCTATAACCATGCCCCTCACCTTCACCCTCCTTCCACACAAACACATAGGCCAAACATATATTTAGCAAGAAAAGTAATATTTGATTAGTGATTATAATTGGTGACAAAAAGTGCCTCAAATTTTCAAATATAAAAACAACCGTTGATTTCAGCCTCTATTGTGTGACAGATCAAAATCGCTTTCCATAATAACAAAAACCCTATTGGTGGAACAAAAATGCGTGGTTAAGAAAAGGCGTTAAGAAAAATTATCAAATGTGTCGTTACATTCGCGTGGGTGAAAAGATCATTTCACTCATTCCACATTCAGATCATTGTGAAGGATAGCCATCCACATTTTCCGGTCTAATTATTTCAACTTCAAATCATATCCAGATATTCATATTCAGAAGTATGGACATGGGTTAAGTCCTCCGTGCATAGGGAGTGGAAGGGGGAGGGGTACTTCAACCATTTACTCATGTAAAATGCATTTAAAGGAAAGTGCATTATAGATGCAGCACATGTTTGCCTCACACTCAAGAGGCTGTTCCACATCTGTCTTTATAGCACAGTGTCAAACAGGATCAGACGCATGAAGAGACGAAAGAAAGAGTTTTGATCCTAAAAAGAGCAGGGCCTGGGGTAGGACCCCTGGAAAATAGATGAAGTTTCTTGTTGAAGAGGACATTTTGTTTATCTAACATTTGTTTGACCAGGAATGTCAGTTGGGAACCACTTCTCATTTTCTTTCTCTCTTGCGTCCTCTTCTCTTCCTCCTCTTCTTCCTTCTTTTTTTCTTGATTGTAACTGTGTGTTTTACAGTTTTACACCAACTGTAAACAAAGTGTTATTTTTAAAAATCTTCTTCTGTGCCAGGTGACGGGCAATTAACTAAAATTTGCACAGCTCCTAAATAAATTTGTTGATTGTCTTTTGATTATGTAATAATAGGTTGTTTTTTACATCTTCTGTTAATAGTTATTTTAAAAATATTTTTTTATTTATTAACACATTTATTATGACCAAGTGTTTGACTCAAATAAAAATTATTCGTTAAAAATCTTGCTAATACAGTTATATTCATATGGATTCATGTTAAATACCCTAAACAAACTGCAGGTGGCAGCAAAGCACAGTAGCTACCTCACAATGAGGACAAGAAGGAGAATCTATAATGGTTTGAAAATCTGTTTTTGAAGGATCTTTGGTAAATGCATTCTGGAGTACCAACCTACATTAATAGAAACATGCAGAAACGCGTTTTGTGTCTTTTAGTCTGATGCCCCTGGATGTTGTAATAACATTTTTAAAGAATGCTAATAGCATGGAATAAAAATACTCACTTATGTATGGTGTCGAAAATAAACAACAACAACACATGTATATGTAAATTAATTTAACTGACAAACGTATTTACATTACTTTACTTTGTGCTAATAACGAGAAGGACACCATCTTTCCTCCAAAGACTCTTTTTCTCTGGTTTCCAGGAGGTGTCCAATCTTATTTGTTCCAAAGACTCTTTTGAATTACCCATGAATCACTGGGAGCGTATGACCTGTCCCTGGCCTTGACGTACAGCGCGGTGCTGCTACTTTTCCTGAGTTGCAAGTGTCTGCAAGCTTTACCAAGCTAACGTGACCTGGTTCCGTGGGTTCTGTCGGACCGAGAACCGCAGCAGCGGATCTGAGCTACAATGCTGTCATGTAGGAGCGTGTGGAAAAATGTAACACCTTTAGTCAGAGCGTCATCAACTCTGTGCCGACAAAATGTGAGAAGAGGTCAGTAACCATAACATTCTTTCTCCCCGCTATTTTAATCAAAGTCTGAAATGTAACACACGACCCTGTTTTACAGGTAATTGAATAAGACACAGGTAGCGACGTAATCGAACAATGGCTTCATTACGATCAACATTAGTGCCTGGAGCGTAATAAAACCACGTAGCTAACACACAGTCTGTCTTCAATGAAATTCACTTCCACTAGTCGTTCCTGTTGTTTCAACAGTGTCTGAATTGTGTTGGCGATATTGACAGATAATGAATGAACTGGTCTAAATATTCTGTCGTGTCTGCTCAGTGCTCAAGGTTTTCGATCTGCTACGCGCGTGTTGGTGTAAAGACAGATTCTGTACTGGTTTATATCGCTCCCCAGTGTAGTGAAAGATACTGTTACCCGGTCTAGTTTGATGCATACGCCCCCTGCTTTTACTGTAAATATGATCCAGTCCAGTTTCCGCTGGCACCATGTTGGTCAACAGAATTGAGAAGGTTGTTATTTATCTGGACTGCACATAAAGTTCATGCTGGATGTTCTTCCTGACGTTTGTGACTGTGACAGAAGAAGGATGCAGTATGCCCCACTGTCCCCCACTGCCCAACACTGTCCCCCACTGTCCCCACTGTCCCCACTGTCCCCACTCTCCCACAAATGTATGAATTGCCTTCAATAATCCATCCAGTCTTTTCTTTTCAGCATTAAACAATGGCAGACCAATACGTGTACCAACAGCACACATGTCCATGGGACCTGCAGGTGTTGGAAAGGAAAAACAAGTGTACACCCTTCTGGTTGGGACCTGTATAGTTAGTGGAATTCTTGTAAGTGGATTTGTTTTCACCGCTGTTTCACGGTCAATTTGTCGTCATAATCAACTGTTTCTGATACAGTTATTTTTCTGTGTGTGTTTCTTGTGTGTTCATGTGTATGTACCTGTCAAAGGCGTATCGGACTGTCAAGAATGACCAACGGAGACATGAGGAACGAATGGCCAGAACCTATACATCAAAGCCTTCTGGTGAGTAGCTGCACTGATTATGATGATGATAGTAATCAGTCCAATAGTGTTCAGCTGTTGTCATTTATTTTTATTTATTGTTTTATTTAGCCAATAATACATTTTAAACCAGGTTTTACTAATTCAAAGGGCTATTGGTCCGTTGGTCAAAGAATAAATTGCTTGTTTAAACATTGTGTATAACATTGTTGGGTAATTCTGTTCATTTTTGTGTCTTTATCAGAAGATAAAGCAGGACTCTCACAAACGTCGACAATCTCTCCGGCTCCAGAAGGTAAGGTACTGGCACAGTGAAGATAATCATCAGTTTTATTGGGTTTTATTGGAGTTCAAGGGAGAGCTGCAAGGATTATTGCTTAATTCTCAGCCATATGGAACTCATATTTTGAGGCAGAAAACATTCCACATCATGTTGACTACTTATATCACTCTTTGGGTTATCAATACACAGGAACATTAATGGTCTCTGTCTAGGGAATTTGAGAAAAAGTTCTTATTTCAGGGACCAGAAATTCTGGTCTAATTACTTTGTGTGAATTGTGTCAACATAGAAACATCTGCACCAGAAGTACCAGAGACTCCTTCTACACCTGTGGCAGTGGAAGGTAAGACACAGGAAGCCCGGATACTCTGCTCTGGATAATCTGTGTTAATTAGACAAGTGCTTATAATTATTTCTGTGTTTTTCTTTTTGTGAACCCAGCTTCACTGTCTGAGGAACCCCAAGACCAGCTAACACAACCATCTCCAGCACCTGCAGTGGAGAGTGGTAAGCAGATGAAATAAGTTGTCCAATGTTGACATGTTTGGTTTCTCACCAATAGTATTTTATGATTGAATGATTGCGTTACACTTCCAGGAGCTGAAGCCCCTGCAGCAGAGCTAGCGCAGCCTCAGCTGGAGTCTACAGGAGAGAGTGGTACAGTAATCATCCTGGGTTTTTCACCAGATAACTTGCAATTAACTGCATTGACATTTTTTTTCCTTTCTTGGGATAATTTTGCCAGGCATATTAATAAACAGTGCTTCTCTATTTTGTGGTTTTTTTTTTACTGTAAATTTCAGCAACAGACCCTACAACTGCCAAACAGCTCTCCCATGCCCCCTACCTCCTGATTGGTGGAGGTACAGCCTCTTTTGCTGCTGCTCGTTCAATTCGAGCCAGAGACCCCAATGCCAGGGTATGTATCTTCAAGCTTACAGTGCTTTTAACCTTAACCTTAAAGCTTTGCTCAAGGTCCCCTTGTTTTGCTGGAGTTTCTAAAACATTTTGTCCTTACTTTATCTACCAGGTGTTAATAGTGACGGATGAACCTGACCTTCCATACATGAGACCACCCCTGTCGAAGGAGCTGTGGTTCTCAGATGAGCCCAGTGTAACAGAAACACTCCGTTTCAAACAGTGGAATGGAAAAGAAAGAAGGTGGAGCCGGTCTCCTTTTGTATTTAGTTGATTTAAATCTATTGAATTAATTTTTAACAGTTCTTCTTTTGCATTAGGATAATCTACTAATTTAAATAATCTACATTTGAGCACTTAAAAACAGAGATGCACCTTTATATACAGCGTGGCTATAAACAGTATTTTGAATATATTTCAATTGTTAATTTTTTTTTGTTATAATATCTTTGTCTTTGGCAGTATTTACTTCCAGCCCCCGTCCTTCTACATCGATGCAGAAGAACTCAGTAGTGCAGAAAATGGCGGTGTAGCTGTTCTAACTGGCAAAAAGGTTGGTTTGCATTAATTCATTATTATTATTATTAGTTTTAAAGTTAATATATTTCTTCAAACTATTTTAAGGTGCACAGTGTGCTGACAAGTCTAAATGGTTGTTTTTTTTGTTTGTTTTTTTTAACTCTTCAGGTGATTCAGATGGATGTGAGAGGAAACAAAGTGAAACTGGACGACGGCACAGAGATTTCATACAACAAGTGTTTGATTGCGACTGGTAAGTTACTGGTCAGGCATCTGAAAACAGCACCGTGTCAAATCCCAAATGGGCTAATTCGAACATTGCTGCTCAGGTGGCGTGCCGAGAACTCTACAGGTTATCGAAAGAGCAGGAGAGGAGGTGATGAAGAGGACCACTTTGTTCCGCAAGGTCAGTTTAATCTATAATAGCTCAGTATCTTATTTTTTTTAGATAAGCACCAATTATATGTGAGGGTTTCTTGTGATTTGTGGCTGTGGAGGTGCTAACATGGATAATATGAAAGGAAATTGGCAATATTTACGATTGCTTTTTTTTAATCTTATACTTTGATCACCTGCACAGATTAATGACTTCAAATCCTTGGAGAAAGTTTCTAGAAATGCAAAGTCCATCACCATCATTGGAGGCGGTTTCCTTGGCAGCGAGTTGGCCTGTGCCCTCAGCATGAAATGTAAAATCCCAAAACGGATTTTAGCAAATGTCATTTGTTGAAGAGGAAATTCTTAGTCTGACTCTGTTCGGGGGAAAAGACAAACTATCATGAACAAACTGATATTTGTTGGTATTTTTGATTGTTTGATTGTAATTAAATTATTCCAACAGTGTCAACAGTATTTAAGTCTTTAAATATTATGTTAGTGTCTTCTTTTACTAAAAGCCAAATAAACATAAGATTAAAGTGGTCCCCACGAAACATGAGTTTCCAGCATTTAATGAGAGCATCAAAGGAGGGAAGACAAACTGATATTTACCAATGTTGTTTACCTGATTATGGTTCTTTTTGTTCCAGCAAACGAGTCTGATCTGGAGGTGATACAGATGTTCCCTGAAAAGGGCAACATGGGAAAAGTACTGCCTGAATATCTGAGCAACTGGACAACAGAGAAAGTCAAAAATGGTTTCTGGTTTTTTTTTTGTTTTTTTTTTCCTCTTCTGACCTTCCTGTAATGAAGTGGCTGAGTGCACGTACCCATGAAAGTTGCCATGAGGCAGTTGTACCCTTTATCTAAACTCTGTTCTTTTTCTAATTGACATGCAATATTGATGTGACTTTAATTTTCCAGAGGGTGTGAAAGTCATAACAGAGGCTTTGGTGAAGTCTGTGACCTACAAAGAGGACGCATTAGAAATTCAACTGAAGGATGGTCGAATGGTAAGTTTGTGATCTCTTTTCTTCACCAAAGTACTTTAAAGGAACCAGTATTAGGGAATGGCCTAAATGAAAAGCAAATTATGTTCTGACATAAAGTGTAGACCCAGCTTGTACTTAGTTATTTATTCTTTGTGGCCCTGCCTTTTCAGGTGAGAACAGATCACATCGTGGCAGCAGTTGGCCTGGAGCCCAATGTTGACCTTGCTAAGTCAGCTGGTCTGGAGGTGGACTCTGATTTTGGTGGTTTTCGGGTCAACGCAGAGTTACAGGCCAGGTCTAATATCTGGGTGGTGAGTTAAGTTTTAAAGCTGTAGTGAGTTTTTCTCCATTACAGTTGATAATTGAAGTAATCATTTTTTAACAGCCTTTCTGATTGTCCAAAATCAAGGTTACAAGGTTTTTATTCAACAGTACCCTTACTCTACTTTTCTAATCTAAGCCATAGAACAGTTTAAAATTAGCTCCTGACTAAATATACCTTCTGGACACAGTACAGTACAGTACATTCCTTCACAGCATCACATTTGTAACTCTGACTTCAATCTTAGTACTTTTACTACTACCACCTCGACACCCGTCCCTTCTGATGTAACCACCTATTTATCTAGGCTTGAGGCACTAGGAATGTTCAGAAAGGTCTTTGTGATTAAAAAAAAGATGACGAAAGAAGGTAGTTAAACTGGTTGTAAGAGTAGAATATGAAATTCATTTCTTTGATACCGAGCCCTCATTATTAAAACTCACTTCATGTAATCTAATACTGTTTGTTAATGTTTGTTGCAGTTGTTTTTAGGCAGATTAAAGATCATGTCTTCTCTTCCGTCACAGGCAGGAGATGCTGCCTGTTTCTATGACATCAGACTCGGCCGCAGGCGGGTGGAGCACCACGATCATGCTGTTGTAAGTGGAAGACTTGCCGGAGAGAACATGACAGGAGCCAACAAACCCTACTGGCACCAGTCTATGTTCTGGTACGTATCAGTCTGCATGTGTTCTGCAAATACGCTGAGCTTTATAATTCAGACTACACATTATACATATTTTTATTATGTAACTGCACTTTCAATTTTTGACACTAGATGGTGACAGTCACTACTTGTTTAAATTATATCTCTCTGGCAGTACTCTGAAGCGCTGAAGCTTTCCAATGTGTTTTGTTGCTTTCCAAAAAACCACATATTATGTTATGTTAATGAAATAGGCACTGGGTGTTCATTGGTATTTAAGAGGAAGCATCATTTCTAAATATCACTTGTTCAAAGTGATCAAACAACACCTAGTTATTACGAAAGACTTACAGAATGATTAAGTTCTAGTTTCTAGCGCAGTAGACTGTTATAAAGTATTATTATTTTTGTATTCACTGTAAGGTGTCTTTGGGTGACAGAAAGGTGCCTATGAAATAAAATGTATTATTATTATTATTATTAGAAGTGTCTTTTCAAATACACTGAACAAGTGTTTGATTGAGGTGCAGAAAATGTGGATTCTTGCAAAGATGGTACTGACGGAAGTGATTTGGCATTAGCTGGTAGTGGCACAAGCTCTTTATAATTACATGTGAATTCCTTTGTAGAACTTGTGTGACACACAGGTGAGCAATACCACGTAATAGAAATGCTAGTCAAGCAGGGTTCCAGATAAATAAGTATATAAACTATTTTTAACAATTGCCTACTTTCTCTCCCAGGAGTGACCTGGGTCCTGATGTAGGATATGAAGCCATTGGCATCGTTGACAGCAGCTTACCAACAGTAGGAGTGTTTGCCAAAGCCTCGGCCAAGGACACACCTAAAGCTGCTACAGAGCAGTCAGGTAAGGATGTTTATATGAGTGGAAAAGCAAACAGATTTTGTTTTGGCTAAGGCTGGTTGGACTGAACCATGTCGTTAATCTGCTGCAGGAACCGGCATACGCTCTGAAAGTGAAACGGAAGACACAGCCGTTAACCCTGTGGCGTCTCCAGCACCTGCGTCCACTGTGGAGCATAACAAGGACAATTTTGGAAAAGGAGTCATTTTCTATCTGCGTGACAAGGTGGTAGTGGGAATAATACTGTGGAATGTCTTTAACCGGATGCCCATTGCACGAAAGGTAGGTTTGTTTGTGTTTGTTATTGATAGTTTTTGTTACTGTTCTGGTCAGTCTGTGTAGTTTGTAAAAGTTGGAACAGGATTTTAATTAGGAACTCTGCCAGTTCACATTTGTCCGTTGCTAAACTTGGTCTCTTCTAGTTCTATCGACCCAGCTCCAAAGCTTTTTCTGTGTCAAATAGTTCACTTAAACATATGCTTTGTGCTCTTTTATTTTTGTGTATGTGTTGACAGATTATCAAGGATGGAGAGGAGCACACCGATCTAAACGAAGTAGCCAAGCTCTTCAATATCCATGAGGATTAAAGTGGTATTTCCAGACATTAATTGTGAGGAGGTGGTTATTCAGAGTAAACACACTCTTCAGGGACTACTGACCTGGCAACCACAAGAGGATGTTGAACACCCTGTCAGTAATTGGACATACTGTCTGTGATTGTTCTTCTTGCTTCCATCCATATTGTGTTTTTGGGTTTGCATTCGTCACCAGGGGAAACAAAAAAAAAAGAAAGAAATCATGAGCAAATTGTTTTTCCACTGCTTCATCACAAAAGCTTGACTCTAGAAAATTCTGAAATAAAGGCTATTTTTAAACAAGGAGTGCTGACTTACTGACCAACCTGCTATACTACGCCATCTAGCGAAGGTAACCGATATTAACTTCGCCAGGCTTGCTGTCTCCCCTCTCCTATGCAGTCAGTTTGCGGTGGCGCCCCGCCCTTCCTGAAACACAGATGCGGGGAGAGCAGCGCGCTTCCCCTGAATGACAGCAACGAGTAGCCAACTGGCACGCGATTTATCATGAGAGTTAGCCAATGAGAGCGAGAGTAAGGCGGGACGAACTGAGGTGGACCGAAAATATGCCGCATTCGAAGCCATGAGGCGGATTGATCTACCCTGTCGAATTGACTTTACTGAGGTGAGGATGTCATTGTAAAAAGAAATAAATAAAATGAAAAATTTAAAGACAAATCTACAAAAATATACCTTAAAATCTCCAAAGGATTCAGCACAAAGAGATTTTGTCTGACAGCAGTTTGACCATTGAACATTTATTTTGTGTTTTCTAACAAACGGTTAGAGTTGGATATATACACGATGAGTACAGAGCCTATGAAAACACTTAAAGTAAAACATCTCATTCTATTTATACCAACAGTAAACATTTTTCCAATAAACCCCAGACCACAATCACGAGTTTGGTGACAATATATATATATGTGTGTGTGTGTGTGTGTGTGTGTTAAAATAGCGCCTATTAACTGAGGTATATATTTTTTATTGAGACAATCATGTGATTGCCTGTGGATGGTTACAAACTTAATAAGATTGTGTTTCACAACCTTTCCTGAGCTACAGCACAAATTTCACCACTGAAAAATGTCTTATCTTACCACCAACCAAAAACATCACAAAAAGTAAATGAAATAAAACGTAAAAATCTTCTAGTGTAATTTTACTTACTCAGTGTGAAACCTGGGCCTGTTTAGTTGAATACTATGCTGATATACCTGCAGAAATGGAAGAACACAGACACATAGGTCGACAGTTTTGTTTTGTTTTTTCTGATGGGTGTATCCTCTGTCATGTGGTAGATAGAAGGGTTATATGAGTTCTAAGAATCTGAATGCAGCAAAAAGAGGAAAGTGCCAATTACCAGTCCTAAATTAATGATTAAATGAGCAGTGTTCCTCTTATTAATTCCTCTTTTGAGAAATTTGAAGCTGTTGTGGGACCTTTATGTGCAGCAGCCTGTGTCTGTTGGTGAATGGTCAGCAAACCTAAATAACTTTTTCTGCTCAACAAGCAAAATGGCCTCATCTTCTAACACTGTTCAAACTTACCACTTTAAATGCAGTGACTCCACCTACTGGGCTGGATTGTGTACATCAATTTTACTCTTGTGCCATAAATCAGGGAACTGAGGAAGGTGGGATTAAGTTTTGTTTTTTTTTTTCTATTAATTGGAACGTTCCATTCCTAGCTCCTCTTCACCTCAGGATGGACGCGTTTCTCCTTTTGCTTGAACTACTTCTAGTTTCTACGGCGTACATGCACAGCAAAATAAACAGGCGAACAGAGCTTTCTCTATTAAACAAAAAGGTCCTTAAAACAACATATGAGTCAATGTGTGCTTGTTATAGGGTCAACACAACAGAGTTCTCAAACCTGTCCAACCTTACTCTGTGTGTTTGTCTACTTTACTGCAGGCCAACAGCTCCATCCACCTGCCCCGAGCAATGTTTAAAATAGTCAACCTTAACTCCCTCTCTCTCTCTCTCTCTCACTCTGTCTCTCTCTCTCTCACTCTGTCAGTCTTTTTCTGCTCTCTCTCTCTCTCTCTCACTCTGTCTCTCTCTCTGTTTCTCCCTTTCTGCCCGCCTCTCTGCCTGATCAATTTCTTGACTTCCTCCTTTTGGAGGGGATGATAGAGCCCAGGCTATGGTTGGTGGTGCTCTCAGTTTCACAGCGACAGCAGCAGCAGCAGCAGCAGCAGCAGCAGCAGCGGAGACGACACACTCTGCAGTCACAATGAGTGCTGGAGATGTGGTTTGCACCGGATGGCTCATCAAATCCCCCCCAGAGAAGAAACTAAAAAGATTTGTGAGTAGGATCACACTCCTAATGGTTGTGCTACTGGTTGTGTGTGTGTGTGTGTGTGTGTGTGTGTGTGTGTCCAGGGGAATGTCAGGGCTGTGCTAATATTGCTGAGTGATGGCATGTGTGCCTTTGTTCAGTTTATATGTAGTCTTCCTCCTTTGTATGCAAAAGGACCAACCTCACCTCGGCGTATTATTATTATTATCATTATCATTATTAGCTGCTCTGCTTACTGATCCAAACTGTGATTCCAAATGTCACAAGCTACAAATGTACTGCAGACGGACATGGATGTTACTTGTATAGCAAGTATGTATAATTGCTTACATGGACAGTATAGAGGCTTCACTGTTGTGCGGCTGTTGAGGTCATGTGATTGTTTGTGTGTGTGTGTGTTGTGAAACATGGAACGAAGTGTCAGCATCTCAGATATATGCTGTTCACTGCACTAGCAGTCGTCTCTGAAACCCTACCAGGGTGTATTTCTAACATATATATCACTCAATTTCATGTCTAATGAAACCCCCTTTGGCTTGTCACCATGTTAAGGGTCACAGCAGTGACGGTCTGCATAGTGATTTAGCACAGTTTTTTTAAGCCAGATGCCCTTCTTGACGCAACCCTCCCCTTCATGTTCAGGTTGGTGCGAAGGGTGGATTACTACTACAGCAGCTGAAACCCTGACACTGGAGCACAGTTTCCATTTGCATCTTTGTTTTGCGTGGGGCTGTTTTGTGTGTGTGTCTAATCTCGTCCTTAAATTTAGAACAATTTACATCTCAACCGTAGCTTCGGTCAACGCCTCAGTACTAAGGACTATTCTCATTAGGATACAGTTCTGAGAAATAGAGAAGAGAAATAGACAGTAACCTCATCCTTTTGTAACTGAACAGAAATGGTCACACTCCCTGATGGTGTTTGCACTTCCTTAGTACAAACAGAGGTGGAGAAGGCCTGTTTATCAACAGACGTGCGGTTGTGGTGGTTTGTGTGTGTGTTTGTGTGAGTGTGCGTCCGTTTTTTTTGTGGTGGCAGATAGGGTTGGTAGTGTGAAATAGAAACTTGTTTTGACACCATGTAATGTTCTACCAAGAAATGATGTATTCATGCAACACTGTAATGGAAACTGACCAGCTTGTTACAGTATAAAATCAAAATATGAGGTTTTGGCCCAGAGCTGTATTGTGGGGTTATATGTATGTTAAGTGTAAGCCATAAATTATTCATATTTTTAATTATAAGCACAGTATTTTTCAACCTTGGGGTCGCATGAAATGTCTGGTAATTTATTTTTAAAAAACTGATAAATATATATATTTTTTAGTTATGATACAAAACACCACACACAACTTTAAACAACTGTATTCCTTCACTCTCATTTATATTATGTAATAAACTGTAGCATACAAAAGTATCTCAGCTGGTGCTATTGCACTTTTTGTATGTATAATTCTAGAAAGAATTTCTGGGGTCGCAAGAAATGTGTGATGTCAAAATAGGATCACAAGCCAAAAAAGGCGTCGTACAGATGACCGTCGATGGTCATAGGGAGGAAAACCACTCTATTTAGTGACATGGTCTCTGTGAAGTTAGTGAGAAGATTTGTTCAAAGCAGCATTGAATTTGGAAAAATGTAATTTGTCGAACCAGCAGGGGGTTCAATCCAATGACAAACCATTTTTATGTTGTGTCTTTTGGAAACAACACACAACAGTAACCAGGATAGCATTGGTCTTCACAATGCTTTCATCCTCTCCAAATTCCTGTAGAAGATTCAGGACCTGTATATGAATTCACAGCAGTGTAGAAACCAAACACAGACCTAAGACACAGAACATATGTTTTATTAAATCACATCTGAAAGGTCATCATTTGATCTTAGAACTAAACAGTTTCTATCATGTCTTCAAATAAAGGACATAACATACTTAACAGACTTAAAAACATAACAGACAGAATAAAGAAGGAAAAAGAAAACAAGGATCCAAATGTTGTTTACTGCTAAATTAATAATGTACATCATATTAGATAATCTAATCTAATCTAATTTTATAGTTAAACTTAACAATTATTACTATTATTACTACTATTACAATTATTAATAATGACTTTGTATTTGTTTAAAATCCACATTTCTAAAACAGAGTTTGAAGTAGAGTTTATATTTACTTTAGTTGTTTCACAGTCACAAATCCAGATTTAGCGCGTCACACATACTGTCACACTGAGTAGAAACCAGTAACATCACTGCTTTCTGGAGGTGTGTAAATTTGCATTTACACACCTTTTATTAGCATTCTAAAAGAAATCACATCAGAGAATGTATTCAGTAATTCTTGCTCTATGCTTCATGAAAAACATAATACAACAATGTAATACAAATCCGTGGCCACGCTGGTCAGCCCCATTTCCTATGGATGGCCTTTGTTAACGTTTGGCCTGGTCATAGAATGTGAATGGTGGTCTGTCTTTACACTTGTCCGTGGACCTGTGATGGTCAGAAGAACTGTCCATGGTAGAAAAGAACCGATGGATATTGCAAGGAGTTGAGACTGACTGATGTTTACTTAATAATAATATTCTAATCTAGAAGATTTATGGGTTTAAATATAGGCCACAGTATTCAGTGCCACAGTTGCCTGCAGTCCCCTCTGCCCCACCCACACCAGCATCGTTCTCATGTTCAGTGTCCAGAATATAGGTTTTTTTTTCTTTTCTGTCCTCAGGATCAATTTCCCATATCATACACAACCCTTCTAGATCATTCCCTGCCACTGTCTGCAGCTGGTTTAACCAAGCTGTCTCTCCATTAACACGCTGCGTCCACTTCCAGCTCCATCGCCGTTCTTTCAGCCAGTGTCAGTGTGACCAAACCATCTGTCTGAGTAGTTAGCAGTGTTGTTTTGAGTTTTATATTTCAGTCATGTGGATTCATCTTTCTGTCACATGTCACCCTAACCACCAGATTACACACTCTGTACCATCTGTTTCTTCTTTTTTGGAATGTCCAGCTTGAATAGTTGACCTCAGGTACATGGATTTACTCATCAACCTACTTCAACTCCTTTCCTCGTTGTTTATGCAGTGTATAATATTGTATCATAGCATATCGTAGAATCCACAGTTCCACCACCACTGTAAACTAAAATCTTGGATATCTGGATGTTTTGTACAACTCAAAAACAAAGCTGGGCTTTTAAAACATGCTGGGATGAATACATAAATCAACAACTGTACTCAGTACGAAGAGGCCATCTGAGAATAAACAACGCCATGTGATTATGACATCTTCCTAATAAAGCCTGCAATTATGACTACATGTAAAGTTCTCTCTGCGGGGATTTGGCAGTTTAACGTGTCTGTCGACAGTTTCAGGTTACATTCCATAGCGAGACAAATAGCTTTTTTTTTTCATTGATGTCAGATGTTTTCTGCTAAATACGGTGAACTTCCTCTTCTCTGTACTTCTGGGAAATTTGAGTTGAGAGGTTCCGCTTGTAGACCATATTGAGAGAAAAAAAAAAGTTGCTAAGTCTGCTGTTGTGAGCAGGAATTGTGTCTAATTCCCATGACTAAATAAATGCACTCAGAGATGGGTACAATCACACGCCTAAGTCTTATTTTTATTTGACTTTTGTAAGATAGGGTTTGTTAAAAAATGACATTAATACACAAAAAGACTAAAGTCTAAGCCTAGTTGTCATATTGCTCTTACAATATCTAAATATAATCTTGCAATTTTCCCAGCAATGGCTTTAATTCTGAAATACCTATAGTAAAAGCTTTCAATTTTCTCCTAAAAAATTCTGTGTAAATTCCCATGTCTTTTGTCATGTACAGAAGTGTACTTTAAGATGTGGCTATTATGTAATTTTAAATGACTCTAAAATAATTGTTTAGTGCGTGAACCTTTATTTAATTTGTCTGGATTCTAATTAAATTGAATTAAAGTTTGTTAAAATATTTTGACTTTTGACATGTTTAAAAGCTGAAAAAGATTTTTATGAGCTTAAAATTAAACATAGTAAACTTAGTAAACGTTGCCTGGCAAGTTGTTTTTTATTGGCAGCTGCCACCCTGTGGCACGTCTCAGAATTACCCCAGTTCTTTGCAGCTAGAAGGAAGGGAATACAGGACGTCAGAATTTCAAATTAAAATACTGATGCAGATGTGGATATATTTATATTTATTTTAAAAAAAAACTTTCACATATGGAATATTTAACTATTCACCAATGGAAGGACCATCTGGTAGCATTGGAAGTAGCATTAATGAATTAATTATTAATTAGTTCATTTTGAGTGAAAAAACAGCATTAGAGAATTTCACAAATATTTGAATGACATGTGGCATGAGTTCCAGTATTATATCACACATGACGGTAACAAAAGAACTGATATTTAGACTTTGGATCTTCTGCTCCCTTCTCTGCTAGGCATGGAGGAAACGATGGTTTGTACTACGCCGAGGTCGGATGAGTGGAAATCCCGATGTGCTGGAGTACTATCAGAGTAAGAACTCCAAAAAGCCAATTCGCACTATTGACCTGAGGGAGTGTGAGGTGGAAATGCTGAACGGGCAGCTCAGAATCAAGAGGGACTTCCATGGAAAGCACCTCTTCGTGGTAAAGACTTCCTTCCGCATATTTTACCTTGTTGCCAAAACTGAAGAGGAGATGAACAGCTGGATCACAAGCATCACTCAGATATGCCATCTTGGCAACTTAGAAGACGCAGGTAAATATCCATAGAAATCATACATGAAGACAAAGACGCAAATTAAAAACAAACTGTGTTATTAATGTACTGTAGGTCCCCAGGTCAGGGGTTCCAAAACCTTTTTCGGTTGCCTATGCCCTTCTATATCTAACTGGGTTGAATCCCCAGACCAGCTACAAGTTAGGCTTATTAGAATTTGCTTTACTTTAATTAACTCCACAGTTGAAAATCCAAGAGACTAAGCCAACCAACAGTTTCTCCTACACTTAGAGGTCAAAATATGAAAAACTTGATCCCTTACCTAAAAAATTAACTGTCCATATAGGAGATATGTTGCTCAGTATAAGACACATCTAATGCATTTATCTTTAAAAAAAATGTCTCTCTGTACTTGCTCTTTACAGAAAGCTCAGAGGAAGGTTTCCCACAAACACCTACTTCTCTTCAGCAGTCAACAGACAGCTCAGACATAACATCTGTATCAAGCCAGCTGGACTTTGGTCATCCGCTGGACTACCTATTTCTGTCACAGTGTGAGACAGGGAGTCTGAGCAGGTACGGGCGATCTCGTAATGCCATTGTGTATACTTGGAAAACATTGAAGACTGATTATAATCTACAACTGCAATGGTTTACTCCCTCTTCTGCAGACACAACAGCTTTTCAAACTCTGAAGTGTCTTTGGAGTTGAAGACCTCAGATGATGCTTTCAGAGACGTTGTACCCTCACCGCTCTACCCCAGCTCCTCTCAGCCCATCTGTCCTCCCAACACCAGTCCATCACCGTTTCATCAGGGATGTTTGATAAACCCCCCTCTCACTCCTCTGTCCACCCCCGTCATCTTACCTTCATCCTCCTCCTCTCCACTTCGTCACTGTGCAGCCAGTGTTTTTAAATTCGATAAACCCAACTCTTCTCCACTGTTGGAGGCCACGGGACAGAGACAAACGCCTCCTCCGCTGCCCCCTAAGTCTAATCAGTTGTCGGAGCACCTGAGTGATGAATCCAATCACAAACCGAGGGCAATAAGTGTGCAACGTTTCTCAGGCCATACAGTTTTTCTTTCCCGAAGAACATCTTTGTCAAGCTTGGACCATTTCAAAACAGGTAAATCTTGAACACAGATACATGTGTCCACCACGCAATGTTCATATTAATGTTTTTTCAGTTTTATTTTAATGCCTGATTTGTTTGTCTGTGAACTGATGACATTTCTCCCTTTTTTAGATGCCGAGAACAGGTTGATCAGAAACAGGAGGCAGAGTCTAAACTTGGTAAGCGAGGGTTCTAAACCACCAGAACAAATACTCTGGGGTCTTATCAACTACTCATATCTATGGAAGCATCGCTAATGTTCAAAGCTAAAAACAATCTGTTGCCAATAAATATACAGAAATCATTCAGTACTCATGAAGGGGGTTATAACTTAACAAAGACACTGTTTTAAGAGGAACATGGATGAGGGAAGTGTCGGGTAGCACGATAGCACGGTATGTGTGTATGTACGGGTAGGTGTGCATATATAAGGATGCATATATGTATATATATGGTTATGTACTGTATATGTATGTGTGTTGTTGGTATATATATATCTGGGTGAGTGTCTACACAGGTTTTCAAGGAAGATTTTCATTATTATTCATTAGTTAAGTCTCTAAGGAGACATTGATCTTCTTAATGTAGCATGAAGGTGGTCACAATCTGAGTTTTAGAGTTTTCTCCAACAGAGAATGATGTCACTTGATATAATATAATCTTATTTCATTCATGTATTGTCTTTCCCAGCCCTGTTTCGGTACCTCACCTGTTGAAAGCAACCAGGACGAGTCCTATGTCCCCATGTCTTCCCCTTCTACTCCTGTTGAAACTGATGGGTATATCCCAATGTGCCCGAGGACGAACACCTTTATTAACAATAGCTGCAGCATGGATCAGACCTCATCCCTTAGCTCACTAATATGTCAAGCAGAAGATCTGGCTCCACCTCCAATTCACCGGCACCTCAAACCTCGATTGAGAAAAGGTAATTACAAATGAAGTACAGAAAATATCTAATATCTTAGTACATATAAATTCACACACACACACACACATATATATATATAGTCTATATAAACAGGTCCAGTGTTCTCACTTGTAACTCTACAGCTAAGTCTAACACTTAACCGTTCCTAATTTGCAGCTCGTCCACCGCCCCTCGACCTGAGGGGCCTTTCTACAATCACAGAGTGCCCCACTAATTTCCCTTTGAGCAGAACAGTGTCTGAAACTGGGTAAACATGACTCTTTTTCAAAATGTTGCTGCAGTGTCTTCATTTGCTCCATAAAAACATCTACTTAACAACATGATCTTGTGATCTGACATATTTGTTGTGCAGTTGCAGCTTCTCAGCAAATCATGTCCTCCTCGAAAGAAAACATGAAAATACAGACAAGCTGAGAGATTTTGAGATAAACCACATTGCAATGGTAAGTTAGTAAAAATATTACAACGAATATACAGTATATTGGTCGCATACTGTAGCTTATATACTGATATACTGGAATTTTAGATTGTGTATTCAATTATGGATTATTTGTAAGGATCAGTCAGTCAAAACATGTATTTATTTATTTCTTCAACAGGAGGCAAGGCAACAGTTCTTTTTCACGTCAGATGGAGCAGTACCCCCCCGGGGTAGGCCCTCAAACCTTGACTATTTGTCCCTGGATTTCAATTCTGCGTCTCCTTCACCTGTTCAGAAGGTACGTGCAAATTTGATAGGGTCTGTAACAGTTGGTTTATTTGAGCCACGAGGTGTTCATGGAGTGCAGTCATTAAACCTTAATGTTTAGAGAAAGAACATTTTATATTGTGTCATTCAAATTCTCTTTACATTTTCCATCTCTGTTTTGAACAGAAACCCTTCTTGTCAGATGAGCACAAAGTGGATTATGTGCAGGTGGATGAAAAGAAGACTCAGGCCCTGCAAAACACGAAAATGGAGTGGACAGATGTCCGTCAGTCAAAGTCATAAAGAAGATGTGAAAAATAGCTTCCACAGCAATAGATAGTTACACCAGCAGACATTTGCATGCCTTTCTACTTCAGCTATCAAAATAAACATTGACAGAGTATAGGCACACAAGTGAACAAACTATAGTTAATAATTAATGACATTGTGAATTGTACATTTCATTTGAAGCCAAAACATTTTTATTGTAAATATTATCAGATTGCACACTGTTTGGAACAGTTGTACCTAGTGGATATTGCCAGGATGAAGGCATCATATAACTTTATTGTTTAAAAAGTTGCTGTAAATGTTATTTTATTTTATCTAAAAAAAGACTTCCACAAAGACTTTTTTCCTTCTCTGTGTGTACCCCAAAGAGTAAATGATCAATTTTGGTGCTTCCACAACACACCACAACCAGAGTGGGATTGGAACCTACAATCCTGAGATAACGAGTCTGAACCTCTTACCCCCAGGTGGCGTATTACAGTTTTTAAAGTAATTTCTGGCCACTTAGCAACAGTGATACTATTTATACAACTATAACTATAAGCATTAAGGAAATAACAAAGATGGTAATTTGCCTCAGCATTGATGAATCAAAACAACAAAAGTTGTATGCTACCCTTCCTAACTCAAGGATCGGGGGTTATAAAAGAAGGGTTTGTTTGAACTGGGAAACTACTTCATGGCAGACATGGCAGAGTTCGATCTCGTCGCCCCCTCCCCCCGCACCGTCCCGAATAAATTATTTACACAACAAATGGGTTAAAATGTGATCATTTACATAAAAACAATATAGGCAAACTGTAGGGAAGTTTTTGTTTGTTTGCTTTATATTTTGTTGCCTATGGGTAAGACCTTTTCAGTTTGCTTTTTCGTTGACGTTAAAAGAAATAAAATGTTGTGTGAAGAACAATAAGAACAAGAAGAAGAAAAGTGGAAAGGTTCGTCACTACGGTGCGTCGGAAGGATGGGGTGTGACGTCAACAATAAGCGTCACAGTCTATTTTTTTCTATAAACACCGTAAGTGAACTCGATAATGAGTGCCTGAAGTCAACATATTTATAAAGCGCATTTAATAAGTCTGAATGCCACAGTCGCGCAGTTATTGTTGAGTGGACGTAACGACGTCGCAGAGCAGCGAAGCTCGTTAACAATGAAGGATACAGCGACGTGAGTCATTCCGCGGCCTGATTGTACATCGATCACACGAACCGCCTTCAGGAACATTTTGTGCAGTGATAGGAGTCTTCTAATTCAACAACCCGCAACATCTGCAGAGGTTAGTTTGTCCACGTTGTAGTATGTTAGCTACCAGTTATCGACCGACTATGCTTACGTCACATCTTGTCAAGTTCGCATAAAAACTTACACCGTAGATTAGGTCTAACTAAAGCTTTTGCAAGTGGACTAAATGCAGTGTCTTTCGTTTTCTGACTCCTTGTCGAAAGAAATCCCAGTAGGTTATTATAATAGAAACATTTTATAGGTGTTACTGACATTCCTAAAAGCATGTATTCTGATTTTAAAACGCTGGAGCTTGATGTATTATTTATTACTACCTGCACATGAATCGTAACCACGTAGTTAGATTTCCATTTAATCTAAAAAATCTGTCATACTTTCTGTTTTCTGTTTCTGTATCTCCCACAATTCAAAAACATGCATGAATGCTTTGTTTCAGTATAGATGTGATGGTCTGGTAGTCCATGGTGTATCCCACCCTCACCCATGTCTGCTGCAATTCTGAAAAGGATTAGGAACTAAAAATGAATGTATGCCTTAATATTTGTAATTATTTTTAATCATACATTTTTTTATTTTTAAGGCTGTGGTCTTGAGCAACCTGTTTGAGTCTGCCTCTTCTTTTTTCATTGTAATATTCTACTTAGGGATAAATATTTTTATGACCAGATGCTCACAGTTTCTCTTCTGCCACAGTGCGAGCTTGGGGCATGAACCCAAAGTTTTCATTTTAACTCAGTAGTTGCTTGTAGTACTTAAAATTAATTTTATTTTTGTTTCAGGCATCAATCCAAATGGATGGCACATTTTCTCTGTCATTCTGCAGCTAGTGTGCCTGTGCTGGACCGCTATCCCAGTGTGCTAACCATGGCTTCCTGCAAAGTGGACAAGCAAAACATTGATACCAAGGATACTGTGACGGTCTCTGACTTACTTTTGAGATGCAGTCATGATGACATAACGGAAGAGCTGTATTCAAACCCTTTGGACAGCACAGTGAAAGCTCAAAAATCTGAAAAATTTAAAAGGACGGCTCTGACATTTTTTGGAGTACGCAAAAGCTTTTGCTTGTTACCCAATTTTTTCGGAGGACGGAATAAAAATCAGAGTAAAGGTTCTAAAAAAGGAATAACTAAATGTAAAACATACGATGGACTTAGTAAAATTGGTCATGATGACGGTCTGTGCCAGTCTATGTCAGCAGAAGACACCGAAAGCCACAGCCAAAAAAATTCTTTTGGACAGGTTCAGCAAATCTGTAACTGTGAATGTAGTCACCCCAATGCTGACCAGAAATCACTTACTCTGGGTCGACAAAAGAAAGGTTTGCGAGGTTTCTTTCACAGTTTTAGGCATCACAGAAACCATCGAAATTTTGGAACAGATAAAACCAAAGTCATAGCGGTGTCCCCTCCCCACAGCTGCTACAAAGAATTGCCCAGTATGTCATATGAATGTAATGAGAATGTTGCAGTTTGCCTGGCTCCTAAACCTCATGTGCCTGACTTTGAAGATGTCAAATGTAATGTTGCTCAAGCTGAATGTAGGGATGCTGAAACTGTGGCCTTAGAGAAGAATATAGAGCAAGAAAATTCAAGATCTGCGCTGGATGGCCAAACAAGAGCTGCAAGCATAATGCCTATAGTGTCTAGAGGTAATAAGGAGATGTCAAGAGGACACAGTCAGCCAAATCTCACAGTTCAGACAATTTCGGAACCCGTCTTGAAATCAGAGGTTCCTTCTGAGTCTGCTGATCAGCTTAACCTAATTTTTGGCGAGGTGTCTTCATTGAAGAGCTTTGACTCCCTTACTGGATGTGGAGACATTATTGCTGATCAAGAAGATGACACGGTCCCAGAGAGCACTGTCGCTGGAGAGAGGAGCAGAAATGGAGGAAAAAGGGCGTCATGCTATCTGACTTATCAGGGTGGTGGTGAGGAAATGGCTTTACCTGAAGATTTGGACTGTCTCCCCAATATGTGGGAAAATGATGCGATAGAAGAAATGTGCTGTTCTTGCAGTGAAGACCACCTCAATGCAACTGTTGAGCTGAAATGTTCACATGGCTTAATGAAAAGTGTACAACAGAGCAGTGGTATGGACAAGTCATTAATTGCTGATATGTTAACACCTCAAAGTGAGCATCAGGAATCGGCTCCAAATAGTGACGAAGGCTACTATGATTCAACGACTCCAGGGCCTGATGAGGTTCAAGAAAAACCAGAGGGACTTAGAACAGACACTTTGCCCCGAGACAGTTATAGCGGTGATGCCCTATATGAGCTATTTGCACCTGATGAGAGTCTTGTTAGTCCACAATATGAAAATAAAACAAACCTTCCTGGTTTGCAACCATTAGTGTTTTCAAGTAAACCACCCAATGCAACAGATCCTGAAATGAAACATATACAAATAGGTGGTGAACTCTATGGAGTTCACAAGTTTTTAGATGGCACTAAATCGCCAAAGTTGGTTCCAAATGTTGTTAGTCGGCAGGAAATTGGGTTCAACACTAACTGTAATATACATTCATCATCACAAAAGCCTTGCAATATCAACAGTGAGGGATTATGTATGTTTGATGAAAAAGAAAGTTTTCTTGATTCTGTTGAAAAAAGAACTGGTTCCTACAATGTTAACTATGGTAGACATGCCAACTTGGCATTTGTAAACCCAGAATGTGGTCCTGACTTTGAAACATTTTACCAAACAAAAAAACAACACAATGAAGAAGACAAGCCTCACAGTTCACGGTATAGCAGTGTCAGTTCTCACTCCTCCGATTGCAACAATGATTTGGATGATGGGCAAACAGTGTCTTTCTCACAGGCACTAGTGGACTACACCAAACATTCTCAGATGCTGAGCAACTTGCAAAATAATGTTGATGACTTGGAGACTAATACTGACTTCTCTCCGACCGTGGAGGCTTTACCTCCCATAGTAACATTTGATGTCGTGGACATGCATAATGAAGGTGAATATGACAAGCACATTCACATGGAACTAGAAGAGGACATCTCGTCCCCCTATCAGGAATTGGAGGAAAGTTACCTTCAAAAAGATCAATTTGCTGAATTTGACTATGAGGCTTTAGACTTGTATGAACAGAATTTAATCAGTAATGCATGGGCAGCTGCTAGTCTCCCACGACACCTGGGCCTTACAAGGGGCAGCCAAGTGTCTCTGGATAGAAGAAGTAGATCTCTGGACAGAGAGAGGCTTGACCTGAACATGCCTGCCACATGTAAAAACAAGAGCAATGCTATTGTGTTCTCTTCTAATTCTCAAAGAGACTCCTTGTCACATCAAGGTGATTCACATGTGTTTGGGTCAGATAATAAAGACTGCAATAACATCAAGGCCTTATCCCTGAAAGCGATGTCAGAAAAGGCCTTAAGCCATCATTTGACAGAAGAAGGAAGTGCTCAAAACTTACAACCTGTTAGCCACCCTCATATAAAACATAACACATATTCAAATCTGTCCACCAGTGACTTTGATGGTAAACTGCATTATCTCTGCTCTAATGCTTTAGACCTCTTGCCCTGTGATGATGTATCCAAAAGTAGAGAGATTTCCAACAGACAACTTGCTCTGTCTAATTGTTCGTTGCCTCATGGCAACTTTGTTTATCGTGAAATAGTTGCAGACGGACCAGCGGATATTGATGATAATCTTTATAGCCCTGTCACAAACTTTCAGACCTAAAGCCTGTGTGGTTAAAAAGTGGTGAATTGGTTTGGGATGTGTCATAGTAGGTCGCCCAATAAAGTAGGACTGTCTAAAGATGTTTCAAGTGTCCATGATGAAACTGAAACAGTAGGGGATGTGGTACGTCCAACAAACTCCACATCTTAAAAGCATCATGAGACTAAAATGTTTTTGTTGATGGTGTTGTGGTAGAACAAAGTGTCCTCATTCTCATAGGCTACTTCACATCTGATTATACTCTCTGAATATTCCCAGGTTGCGAAACCTCGAGATACTGACATAGATTGCTGTGTCTGCTTTTTAAAATTGTTGTTTTTCATCTTTTGGAAAATTTTTTTAGAAAATTGCAGTTTTAGAATATTAAACAATTACATTATTTTCAAAGTCAGCATAATGTATATTGTGATTTTTTTTTCTTTTTGTGTAAAAGCATTGTTCCCCGTAAGAGAGAATTTTTTTTTTTTATTGTCATGCCATTTTATTTTAGTGAAAGTTTTATTGGAATGTAAATTGTTGTTCTTTTCACATCTAGATTTGAAATGATCAGAAAAATTTGCTAGTCCCGTTTTCATAGAACAGCGGGGCATCTCCTAACATGTGCAATATGAATGTGCATTAAATGCCAGTCAAGCCTATGTTATTGTTACATTTTCATGGCCTCTCTGATCACTCAGATTTATTTTAGTAGGAGGGAATCATTATATTCCTGACATCATTAAAGAAATTATTTTTTCATTTATTCATGGGTGTATACTGTAAAGTACTGCTGCAGATTCAATGCCACCTGTATACGAGGAGCCAGTTTTAGGCAGTTACTCTTAAAATCATGACTAGTGTGGGCACAGAAGTGGAAACAAATGACTTGCAGAATGAAAGCTACATCTTTCTAATCATATGTTTGTCTTTTTATCTTTCAACAGGAGATAAAAGTTTGTGTCACTTTATAAACATTTGAACGATGTCCATCAAGAATATAGGATTTCTTGATTTTCTGTTGCCTCAGTATAAAGTTGACTTTAAAGAAATCCTGACATCTTTGTGAAATGTCAAATGTCAAAGTGGGAAATTGCATTGATTTGAAATGGTGTATAAAATAAGCTGGTATTTTCTCACATGATTTTGTTACAAATGCAATGTATCATCTCAAGTTACATTTGCTTATGTGCAAAATTTAAATGTGTTTATATATTTTCACTTTTTTACAGTATAACGACTCAATCAGGATAGAAATGGCAAATTGACAATATCTGTTATTTGACTTGTTTTTACAGTGTGAGATTTTCATTGTTACACATAAGATTCTCATGGATAATCTTAGTTTTGAAGATAGAACACTGCCTTGCTCTTAAATAAAAAAAACCCATTACAATTCAAACCAGATTTTTCTCAAGCGTGTTTTTAATATGTATGTTGTACGCCCTTTAGTGTAGCACTAGTACTATGAATAGTATGAATAGAAAACCTCAAACCCCCGACATTGATGCAAGCTTGTCTTTACTTTTAAGAGTGTAGAAAAAAATCATTACTTTTGCATATAAAATAAACAAGTACATTTTTGTGTAAGATAATCTACATTGTGGTTATCTACATTTCATATATATCAATCATACTGTATTCCACTAAGATGGAAGTGGCAGAGATGAAGATGTTGAGATTTTCACTGGGAGTGACCAGGATGGACAGGATTAGACAGTTAAGGTGGGGCAGTTTGGAGATAAAGTTAGAGAGGTGCTGTTAAGATGGTTTGGAGGTGTGTTGAGGAGAGATACTGAATACACTGGGAAAAGAATGTTAGAGATGGAGTTATTAGGTAAGAGGAGAAGAGGAAGACCACAGAGGAGATATGTGGATGTTGTAATAGGATATTTAGATAGTTAATGTAGAAACAGGGGGCAGGGGTGATTTGTTAACACGATTTACTTTTTTTTGTTTGTTTTTGTTTTTGTTTTATCATCAGTTGACTTAAGCTGTTACATGTGGGTGATATTGGATTTGGATTATATGAACCATACTGTACATTTGTATACCACTGTACGTTAAAACCACATCAAATCTAAGCACTATTCGTCATTTAACATACATGCACATTTGAGAATCTTTTCTTTTTACCATTAGTTTCTACAAATGTTTATTTTGCTGTAACGTGTAATTTTCAGGGTTGCATAAGCATTGATTTTTTTCTTTCTTTTCATTATTATCTACTTAGACACAATAATTGGCATCAGGAAAAAGTCTACCACGGAAAAACAAAGGTGAAGTGGGTTTTATGATCGCTAGTCCTAGCCCCTCGGTGTACTGCTTCCATTACTTGTTTCCTTTGCGTGATCTGGCAACCCTTAGCAAACTGCGACAGCGCCAATGGCAGCAAAACATTAGCGTTGAGGCGTAGAAGAGGATGACAGCAACAAGGTAAGATGAGCATCGTTTGAGTCATATACTTGCGCTTGCTGAACGTCTGTGAGAGGCGCATCTCTGATTATTGTCACCCTCATACACACCAAACTATCTTTACTTTATTGTCAACTTGGTGATATTATTAAATATTGGCACTCTCCGTAGCTGAGAGCTAGCACCAATTAGCAAGCGTATGTGTTCTCCTCAGGAACCACTGTCAGCGCTGCGTCTTATCTTGGCTAAACTAAACTAACATTTCTATACATTGCACACTGCAGAAGTATTTGTCAGGCTAACTGTTTAGCATTATTAAAAGCCAACGACGTCCTTTCCCAGTATCTCCTTTTATTTTATTGTAGGAACGTTTGAAGCTGAAGTGTTTACACTCGGGAAGAATAAGGTTAAGTTAGCCTAACAGCATATGCTAAACGCTCTTGGGGCCTAAGGCAAGTCCTTCTAATCGAACAAAATCACAAAAAATTACGTCGCTGGGTTTTTAACGACGTTAGTCGACCAACTTTTATTTTATCATGTTTAACGGCATTAATTCCGTTCTTCTTCACTCGTGATGCGGTTGCTCTTCAGTTTAATTGTGATTGACGTGTTTCCTGCTGCTGATTTTACCAACACTGTTATCTCCTCTGCTCAGTTCGTGGTCAGAGCCAGGGCACTAAATTCATAATTACGCACTCATCTGAATTGTCTGTAGAAGGAAAATATGTCTTGTAATTGTGATTACAGCCAAAGAAAAAAGTTTCAGATATCATATTCAACTTGGTCTCACCACAACACCTTAATTTCCTAAAAAAATCTTAGTGCACTAAGATTTTGTGCATTAGAATTTGCTTTCAAGATTGTGAGAGATCCAAAAACTTTGTGTTTGAGGGAAGATGGTAGGTAGCATGACATAACAGGCCATCTTCAGTAAGGTTCAAGTCATTTAGGGGGCACTTGTCAGTCAGTGGTGTCTCAGATTTGTCATTTTGGTGGTTATTTTGTTTGAACATGTTTTTACTACTTCTCTGAGAAAGGTGCAGATATTGTATCAATTTAAAATTGTGAATTTACTTGTTGCTATATAATAGAACTAAACTAGAGATGCTTAACCATGTATGTATAGTTTGGTCAATGTTAGTGTCTAGTGCTAGTCAAGCAACCACACCAGATTTTTCATCACTTCATGCAGATGTTTTGTTTTTACTCATGTATCTGTTCAATGCTTAGATATTAAACATTTATTGAATAGTAACTGTTTAAGCAGTTCATTGAATAAATGAAGATCTTAGCCCATACAGATGGTAATGTTGAGGCCTTTTTAAAGCCATTCCATGTCATTTCAAGTCATCCATTACCAATCAGTGTTACACCATAAGTATAGTTGTTTTTGGAAGTTACACTTACTTGAGATGGTAATAAAAATATCTCATGTAAATACTAGGTTTGTAATTGGATTCAACTTGATTTTTATTATTCTCCATGTAAGTTTGCTTCATTTCATTGCAGTGGTAATAATTGAGTAATTATTGCAATTTATTGCAAAAACTGCTGTTTCAATAGTTGGAGCGTTCAGCTGTATTGCAGCTTTAAGTGTTCTGCATTTACTGCCTGCCTGAAAAGAGATGATGAGCTGTGTTTGTGTTAGTCGTGACTGGTAAAAGGAGTAAGCTGATGACAAGGCTGTGTTGCTAGGCAACGCGTCATGGGCTGCGTCTCCTGAAGCTGTAGCTGACTGTGTTCTCTCCTTTCTGCAGCTGAGGCAAAGTAATGTACACCTTAATTTCCTTATCTATGTATCTATGTATCTATCTATCTATCATCTATCTATCTATCTATCTCTCTCTCTCTCTCTCTGTGTGTGTGTATACAACTATATATATATATAAACAGATAGATGCATAGATATACAAACACATCTATGTACATGTATATATTTACTGTATACATTCGAGGTTGAAGACCACCTTTTATTATTTGTGAATGCTTTCAACTGTGATTTAAAAAAGAAATTAGAAGGCCCCAAAATTGCAATTGGTGGACGTCTACTAAGAATGCTATTAAAAGTGTAAGTGCAAAAAGCATCACCTAATCGATGAACCTGCTGCAGACATTTATTGTACCCTTGCCCTCATTGCACCATTCTTTAACACCAATCACCCTTTTCCCTTGATTTCCTGTGTATTTAGGTTGCTTAGTCTTGTTTTGTTGTTAACAAGGCCAACATATACCCATGTCAGGCCATTTTTAACTGCAACCTGAACTTGATTGGTTTACACATTTCAAACACTGCTGATTGGTCAATAATCACATTGTACTATTTTAACATATTAAAAGGAATATTTGACTGCTGATTTGTAAGTATCATATGAGAACTCAGGGTAACTGATTTAGAGTCAAAGAAATGCAAGTGCAATTGTGATCTATTAATTGTCATGTTAATCGTTGTCATGCCATAAATAATCAGAAATAACTTTTTTACCAGTGTCGCCCTATTTCTTTTTTCTTCTTCAATGGAGCAAGTCATTTATTTTGATGACAACATGACAGGATTAAATTTGGAGATATGTGATTTGACTGATGACATTTTGATGTTCTTCTACCAAATGTTCCCAGTTATCGCCTCCATTCAGGCTTCCATTGAAGGCTACTAACTGTCAATTACACACACTGACCACTCATATGCACCACCATCTGCTGTGTTGTAGAGATGTGTCCCTGTCTGACAAAGCAGACTTAATTTATTCCGATTAATTATATACCTTCACCACTGTTTTTTGGTGTCATGTTTTGTTTGCAAAAGTTGCTTTTACATTATTAGCACTGGGGACTCCCCATCCCTCCCACCCCCGGTGATTAGTCAAATTACAGCCCTACTAAACATACATAGATCTTATAAAAAGTACTACTTAAACACACTTAAGTCATATGAAGAGGTCAATAAATACAAACCTTTACTAACTCCTATTTTGCTCTCTTACAGGACTGCATAAATTGAAATAGCCTGCCTACAAAGTGTGCTGGTAGTGCTAAAATTCTCAAGTATGATTCCCTGGTTGCCCTGGAGATGAGGAAGCATGGGGTGGATATCTGAGGTGTCAAGACAAACGTGACCAAAACATGGTCCTTGTTGGTGAAGAAAAAAATGGAAAAACACTCATGTAGGGAGGAGAACATTCACTCAAGCGAGGCACAGCAGACCAATGATGAGTCTGAGGACGGAAGCAGCTCTGAAAGCGAGTCAGAGGAGCGGCAACACCACACACCTGAGACAAACTCCAGCAGCTGCAGAAAGGCGGAACCCTTGGCTGTCACAAAAACACATCGTCAGCTTTGCCGTTCTCCTTGTCTTGACCGACCCAGTTTTTCCCAGAGTAGCACTGTGTTAGATTTCCGTGAAGATGAGACTAGTGTTGGTCCAGGGATCAGAGCTGCCAATGACAGGGAATACCAGACCAAGATGGAGTTTGCACTGAAGTTGGGCTACACTGGAGAGCAGGTTGAAACTGTGCTCAACAAGTTGGGGCCTGCTGCTTTAATTAACGATATTCTTGCAGAATTAGTACGGCTTGGAAACAAAGTTGAGACTGACATTCAACCTTGCAGCACCACAGCCACACTGATACCACGTTCTCACTGTGCAAAAGAAATTGTAAGTCCAGAAGTTTCAGTGGAAGATGAACCTGTGGATACCTTTGATAACCTCAGGCCTATTGTCATTGATGGTTCAAATGTGGCAATGAGGTAAGTGTGGTCTAAATACTGAACAAGGTTAGGTCAAACAGTTTTATGACCAATTTTAAGAGGTGTAATAATAATACATTAATAAATGTTCTTTTTATTTTTAGCCATGGAAATAAGGAAGTATTCTCTTGTCGTGGCATCCAACTTGCAGTGGAATGGTTTTTTGAAAAAGGACACAAAGACATCACTGTGTTTGTTCCAGCCTGGAGGAAGGAGCAGTCTCGGCCTGATGCCCTTATTACAGGTAATTAACCTATTGTCATGTTCACTTTCTAAGTTTTATTTTATTCATATTTAAATTCAGTACAGCCAGAAGTTTCTAATAACTGATTTACTTTTTCTAGATCAAGAAATATTACGCAAGCTGGAAAAAGAGAAGATTCTGGTGTTCACCCCTTCACGAAGAGTACAGGGCAGAAGAGTTGTGTGCTATGATGATCGCTTCATAGTGAAGCTGGCTTATGATTCTGATGGAATTATTGTTTCAAATGACAACTACAGAGACCTGCAAAATGAGAAGCTCGAGTGGAAGAAGTTCATTGAAGAACGTCTCCTGATGTACTCTTTTGTCAACGACAAGTAAGAGCCAGACTGTGTTTTTGTGCTAAGAAATTGTTTTTTTAGTTCAAAAACATTTATTATGAGTTATTACTTCATATTTACATACACATAGCATTATATGCTAGTATTAGGATAATTATGTCAAAGAGTAATCAGTGGAAAGTAGTAATATTTATTGTGCCCTCCGCTTCTGTGGCTCCCTACTTAGTCCTTTATTAGGGCAATTACCTGATCACCCTACAGTATGTGTATGGTCAGTCTGTTACATTGCTATCCTTGCAGGGTGATTTTTAAGGGAATCACACCCCACCAAACCTTTGTGTTCTTCCAATTAAAAGTAGATTACACTTGTGTACTCTTTAGCATGAAAATTCCACAAATTATGAGGCGCATTATTTTCTTTATTTTCTCCAAAGTGACATGGCTAAAAACTGACAATGAGATCATGATATATATTAACAGGTTTATGCCACCTGATGATCCACTGGGACGCCATGGACCAAGCCTGGAAAATTTTCTTCGCAAGCGTCCTGTTGTTCCAGAGCACAAAAAACAACCCTGTCCTTACGGTAAATTATCTTTAAATTATCTTTTTAAATACTCTGCTTGCACTGGCAATAGAAATAGAAATAATGTTAAAGGGAATACGTCTGTTTTCATCTTGATCTACTGGTAAACCTAACTGACTAAAAGTTGTCTAACATTTGCCATTCATGATGCAAATATTAAAAGGATGTTTGTGGTATGGAGGGTTTTATCAGCGATACTCCTGGTCTACTGAATGGCTAAATACAGCTAAATCATTTCATACAGAAATAACATTATATACTGTATTTACTACTGGAGCCAAACCCTTTGTATGATATAGTGATCATATCCAAGTATTTGACATCTCCCTTCAGGGGTGGCCACCTTGGATCATTTGGCTCCATCTCTTTCTATCATCCCTTTCCCTTAATGGTTTTATACACTAACTATGTTTGCCCCATTTAATGACTTTCAGCCCCTAATCACTAAGAAATATGTGATGATTTTTGCATTCTTTTTCTTACCCAAGGTAAAAAGTGCACATATGGACATAAGTGCAAGTACTATCATCCAGAGCGTGTTAATCAGCCACAACGATCTGTGGCTGATGAGCTTCGAGCGTTTGCCAAATTGTCTGCGGTGAAAACAATGAGTGAAGGGGCTTTGGTGAAATGTGGTACTGGTCTAACATCGGCAAAGGGGGACAGTAACTCGGAGACAAAACGTGTGACACCTAAACGTCAGTCTGATCCCAGCATTCGTTCAGTGGCCTGCGAACCCCCAGAGGCACTGTCTGTTGTGAGGAAGTCTGAGACAAATTCCGTGCCTTCGCTTGTGTCTGCTCTCAGTGTGCCCACCATTCAGCCTCCCAAGAGCCACGCAGCTGGGGCCTTGAACACACGATCAGCCAGCAGCCCCGTGCCTGGGTCTTTGCAGTTTGCGCGCAGTTCCCTTGAGCACATGTCAAGTGTACAGTACCCACCCATTTTAGTTACTAATAGTCATGGAGCCTCTGTTACATATAGTGAACAGTTCCCAAAGTATGACTCAGTGAGTGACCATGGGTATTATTCACTGCACAGTGATTTTTCAAACATGAGCATGAGCAGCATGCATAATGTGGATAGTTTCTGTAGCATGGAGCACGAACATGGTGTGTACCAGAGAAATCCTAGCCGCTGCCCAGAGCCCTGCCTCAGCCATTCTAACAGTGACTCTTTCGCCTCTTATGGTGACCTGTTCCCGAGCTCTGTGGACAGCAGCTTAGAGGAGGGCATGAAAGGGCAGCAGCAATCTCAAGGCAGAATGCAAGCTTTTTCCCATGGGTTCCGCCATGAAGCACTGACTAGGGTACAGAGTTATGGATTAGAGGAACCCAAGCAGGGCCCCCGTAAGCAGTCTGGATCTCATCTTGCCCCGCACATTCAACATGCTGCAGTGGGAGCCAGGTCCAGCTGCCCCGGAGACTATCCCCTTCCTCAGAACATCCTGCCGCCTTTGTCCTCACAGCCCACACGTTCTCTTGGTATGACCCGTATGGACAGTATATCAGACTCCAGGCTATATGATAGTAACCCAATGAGACAGAGGCGACCGCCACTGTGTCGTGAGCAACATGCAAGCTGGGACCCTCTGCCAGGTGAAAAAGACTCTTTTGGGTACCACTCCTACCCGCTAAGTAACAGCCTAATGCCATGCTGTGAGCGGGTGATGGTGCGCAGCATGCCAGAGAAAATGGAACAAATCTGGAACTCACCTTGGGAATTGATATCTCTAGCTGAACACCAAGACCGGTATGTCATCCCAGAGCACCAGTATCAAACATATCGAAACCTCTGTAACATCTTTCCTGCTTACGTAGTTCACTCAGTGATGGAGAAGAACCCTCATTTGACAGATCCGCAGCAGCTAGCTGCTGTTATTGTAACAAAGTTGAGGTCGTGCCACTAAGTATTTCAGATTGACTGTAATAAGAAGCCACTTGTTGATGGTTGGTAATTGTGCAGCATCTACCCTCCGAAACTGTTTTTATATCTGATGGGAGGTCCGGTGGTCACAATCTACATTATAAAGATGATGGACATTAACAGCATTTAGTTGAAGATTACTTAAGTTTAGCATGAATTGTGAATTATCAATGAAATGTGGTGGAGTTTATGAAAGTGCCCCCATAGAAATGTGGTTTATAACAAATTTATCAGCGCTTCACAAGACCTGTTCAGCAGCTTCTCATCATTTATAATAACCTTCTGTAACTTTTAATAGGATTCATATGTATGGTCCTGCAGATTTGAAATTAATTAAATCAAACATTTTTCAACATGTTACGTCACTCCAAAGTGTTGTGTAGTTATGGATACTTAGTTTACATGTGTACACATACAGTAATAATGAGAGTGGTTGAAGTGACACTCCACCTAAATCTGTGTTATTTCATTTATGCAAGACCTAAATGATTCATCTCACACATACAGAAAATACTTTGATAATTCACTCACCTCTTCAGTTACATTACACTTTGAATTTTATCGTAGTGTAAGTGTAGTGTCACTGTCCATCCATCCACACATTAATTCCTTCATTACCTACCAATGAAGCCTGTTAAGGGAAGCTGTCTGAATTGAAGCTGACACTGTTCCAGAGGTTTTAAATATAATCTCACTGGTAGTCTTTTCACAGCTCATCATTTCACTCCCATGAAGTTAAAATACTAAGTAAGAACTTAATAACATTCAACATGAATGCTGTTTTTCTGTCAGAATTATACCAGTCTGGTGAAGCCCTTGGAATGTGCTTTGAAAGAATATGAAATGTTTCCCTTGCAGTACTACTGCAAGTGAGATGGTTAATTCTGCTTCTTGATTATTTTTTTTACTTTGCATTAAAGATGTAAGATAAGTCAGATAGAGCTGAGCACATAACCTCAGATAGAGCTGAGCACATAACCTCATAGCATGAACTACCAGAACTAATTGCCTTATCTCTGAATGACCTCATGCTTTAGTCATTGTGTAATTGGTTTTCAATACGAGTTGTTGAAGCCTCTTCTATACTTTTAAATGAATAGCACTATCTCAGAACCTAAAGAGATATATTTTCTCAGCCTCACTTAATTAACAAAGCTACTATTTTGGTAGACTTGACAAAGTGCACAAAACAAGCCAAAACGAGATTTGACTTGTTAAAATCTGTGCACATTTATGTACCAATAGTTACACAAAAGCCATTGTTTGAAAGAAATTTATAAGCTGCTAAATAATGCCAAAAAGACAGAATTTATAGTGTTATTGTTGTGATGAAGTCACATTTTGGTTCAGAGAACTGGTTGGATTACTTGGTGAAATCTGTTTTTGATCATTTCGTAAGATGTAGAGTATAGTTTCTGATTCAAGTGGATGCCACGTCCTGTATTTTTCTATTTATATACTTGTCATGTTTGTTGTGTGAGCACTTTTCATTGTGAAAAGATTCTTACTATCTTTGGCTCAAACAGTAGCTCTTAGCGACACCTGAAGGTTGTCAGTGGAGCATTTTGTTTTCTGAAACAGGTTAATTTTGGTTGAAAGGCTACATTCACCTGCACTTGCCTTGTTTGTGGGTTCTGCTGCTATTATGGACCAGCTGTCTTACATGTGGTAGGAAGGAAGGGGGGGGAGGGGCTTTCCTGTATTTTCTGTGCCCTTCCATCATTGCATCAACAGTTATTAAGCTTTTATTTTTGTCGTCAGGATGTAAAAATACTCCAGAGAATACTCCACTTTTTGGCTCCCAATCAGACTCTTCTATTTGTCTATGTCAAAGCCTTTGAGTTTGAATATTTAAAATAAGGAATCAATGCCCATCAATGGCACCCCACAAGTACTCCAGCTCTTAAATGACAAACTATCAATAGTTACCTTCATTTTAAACCACCTGGTATTTGCTTTCCAAACCTGCCGCACAAAAGAAATCTGTACAGTAAAAATTAGGGAAAACATTTTAGCCTAATTTGGTCAGCAGAAATACATAATCATCTTTTCATTTTTTATAAACACAAATAAATATATATTTATATCCTGCCTACCAAGTTAAGTGCTGAGAACTTTACAGGCCTTTATGCAAGAGTTGGTGACAACTAAAGGTCAAACAAACAAGAATCCCCTGCTCACCTTCATGTTTCTGCATCAGTGTCAATTTTTTTTAAACTTTTTTTTTTTAAATATTTTGAATGTTAATCATTTTTTAAAAGTCCTAATACTACAGCTTTCTTTCGTCCAAGAGGCAGTGTTTGGATTAGTAAATATTTAGCTAATGCCATCTTATATTTCTTTAAGTACAATTTTGTTGAATAATTAAGGGTTTGCTATCAATACAACTGCATCATTATTAAAGTTTTGCCTTCAATATTATATAATAATATAATATATTTAAATTATTAAATATATATTAAATTATAATTTTCAATTCCATTACTCCAGTGCAGACTTTTAAAGTAAACAAACTCCTTATGGGTGGCGAAATTCAAATTTTACTAATTCGTCTCCTGGATTCAAATCATATATTCTATATGCCCCCATAGTATGCATGATGGGGGGCATATTTGTAACTTTGTTTTGTAACGTTAATTGGTATATTGGTATATTGGTAGGTAGAAATCCAAATAGCAGTGCATGTGGACAAGGTTTTTGTTTTGGTGCCTTAACCTGATTTAATCTGTTTCCTTTGTGCATGCCAATGTAATCAATCGTAAATGAATTTCACAAACCTGTCAGGTAACTGTGACAAGAAAAAGTTGCATAATTTCTTAATGAAGTAACAAAATGTTTTGTTTTCAAACACAGAAAGTGTATATAAATCAAATGTTTTGTATGACGGATAAAGGCAAGGATGAAGGACGGGTTTGAATGTGCCTCACAGCACATTATTCTCAGGATGCTTCTAGTTTTTTTCATTTTATTAATTACCTGTCAAGACAAATGTGTTGAGGTGTGGTTGAATTTACATGTGTAATAATGATGGACAACTGCACATTTCAAAATTGTATCTTAACATAGTACATGTAACATGTAGTGTATCGATGAAAATGAGATGAGATCAAATTTGGAATGTGCAGTTGTACTTAGAGATGCCATTCATTTTCACTTTGAGATTTATTTATTTTATTTTAAAGGTGGCTTTATACGATGCTTCTTTTGTCAAAATTATTCATGTTTGGGTTCAGTTGGATGCACAGACTTTCTTTTCATGGAAAAAAGTATAGCCAGGCAAGGTCAAGATTCTTTTTTGAAGGCCTCATCAGAGAGCCACGTATTATGCAGCGCGGGCTCGGTGCCTGGGAACAGCCTGTCGCAATAAATCCATATTTTAAGTAGGACTCCTGGAGTTGTCTGTTAAATGCAGCTTTCTTTTTCTTTCAAGGTCTGGAGCAGACCTTTTAAGGAGGTAGCGGATGCAGGTAAAACATGTGACCGAGGCAATCCTCTTGACATGCAACAATTGTAGGTCATAGACAGATGTGGTGGAGAGAATCTGGTAATTTTTCAAAATAAAACATTGTTCAGAATCAGATAACAAATAAAACGAAAATAACGTATTCTTTCTCTGCGACCTGGTACCAACTGAGCCACAGACCAGTGCGGCCAGTGGCCTCGGGGTTGGGGACCACCGATATACAGTATTTGATAGTGTAGTAGAGTTTCTTCATCCAGCCATTTTGGGCATGAAAGGTTGCCATGGTAGAGGTTTTGCTACTAACATAAGATGTTGATTCACTGCTGCCTCTTTCAGTTAGCTTAAATGTTTGATTTGTATTTACACAAACTGGTAGCATCGGAAATATTTTTAGGGTTTGATTTAGTGTTTGACACTAAAATAAGGCAGCAGTGGACCAACAGCTCTTGTGTCCTCGTAAACTTAAACATTATTTTCTTCATGAACTTTTGTGCAGATTTTACAGACAAATGTTTGTCCCAAGAAAGGTTTCGTGGGAAATGGCCATTGTTTATTTAACAGCAATTTCTAAAATTCTGGACTATCACTAAATTTACAGTTTCAGATTTTGTAACTTTTGGCCCAATGTTGTGCTGCATGAATAAGCGTTACAGTTTTACATTCTGGGAAAGATCCCTCTGTGCATCAAACTCGTTGTTTTGATGTTTTGCTGTCTTAAGAAATAAAAAACACCACCAGTAATTCTGGGTTAAGAAAGTTTAACTGTGTTGTGGTGTCAGCAGCGAGCTGGTAATTTATTAAGAATTTTAATGAATGTGTTTGTAAAACAAAAGTAAGATTTTCTTATAAAAGTGATTACTTTTTTTTACGGAGCTAATTGTGTGAGTTGAAATTGTCCTTTTGTGGTGCTTAACAAAAGTATATATATATATTTCTTCAACATATTTAGGTAGAACTATTATATATTTAACATTAAATAAGAAAATTTAGTCTGTTTATTGTCTTTGAATTATAGGCTTTGCTGACATTGTATTTATTTTCCTTTTTTTTCATGAATAAGGCAAGGCCACTTGAGGCCTACTGTCTGTTCATGAGAAGGTGAAACAAACTGCCTACATGTTTCTTCATGTGAAACAATCAGATTGCAAGGTTGCTGTCCAGGTTGTTTCTGGCATTTGGCTCAAAGTTTGCGTGCCGTTTGTTCTCCTCGAGATAGTTAAAATGTCACTGAAGACAAAAAAGTGCAACATGGACAAACAAATCATTGAAAATCATGAAAATCATTAACTTTCTGACCAGAAGAAAAAATATAAAGTGGAGGTGGGTGAGATACTGAGATAACCTGGACTGGTCTAATGCCCTGGTGACGTCATGTTACAAAGTTTGGAGACGATGGTTGAGGTGAATTATTTTCTTACAATTGTGCCAGTTAGGAAGTGACACAAATCCACTCAGAAATTATTTCTGACAAACATTTTTGAATATCTAGGCTTTAGTGAACATTGACATTTTTGGTTCGATCTTTCATGCTGTTGCCAAAACAACTGGGGAACCTGGCAGTGTACTAAGTCTAAGATAACTATCACAACTAAAACATTTCATTTTTGTAGCTAATGCTATAGACTCTATATTCCCTGGGCAAAAATACTACTACTACCAAGTTCCATGTAAATGTCTAACTACTACACTCTATTGTTTGACCTTGCTTTGACCAAAAGTTCTTGATTGTCACTTTTCCACTACATAGTACCAGAAACTTTTAGTATCAATGCTTTTTTCAACAGAGTGCAGCCTTTTTGTAATTCAGGGAGTGAAAACTAATTACCGACTAAAATGTAAACACTTGTTGCCACGTCCCACGTCCCGTATTAGCTTTTTGCCCATATTTGATATGCCGATATTGTCCAAACACTTTATTTCCGAGTACAAACCACTATATTGAGTTGCTGCCACCAGCATTCTGCATACAATCCCCTGGTTATTTAAAATATATTAATAAAATGAGCTGCAATGCTGCCATCTAATGACTTTTACTTTCATATGCAGCCATTTTCCCCCAAACTATTTTTAAGGCACACATCATTTGGCAATACCAAGTTATTAGGATTTCATTATCAGAGGAAAAAAACAATAACGATTCTTACAGATATTACATAATTATCCTAATATTGGGCCGATAATATTTTATAAAACAGTCCTGGTCCCAGCTCTTTTTTGTTACTGGTCTCTGTTATGTAAGTGCATATAGTTTCTTATATTGACAAAAGTTCCTGGTACTAATTTGTTGGAAGGTAACCCTCATTGTCAGAATGGTGTCTCACAGATATTTTCCTCTGTTATCAATGCCGCAAACAACTAAGCCACAAATGTCTAGAATTGACTTTTGCTTGTTGATACAAATTGTATCTATACCATAACTGTAAAAATCATGTAATTTTAAAAACTGAAATAAGTTTATTTAAATGAATGGCAAAAAAGCAATGCCATAATGTAAGTGACACTGTGTGTCACTGAGAGTAGCCCACTGCTACTGTACAGTATGTGCTAATTCTTACCATGTACAGTTGATTACTAATGGGGACAGTTAGCTGCTACCTGTAAGTGCACAGTCACCCTGTGTACAGTAGTCAGCATTGTGTCCTCTTTGTACATAGTCACACATGTGAGTGTATATTTAGACAGAGATGTGTAAAATCCAGCTAGGTTATTGATCTGCATCTTCTTTATGCTCCCAATTCTGGAATGTTGACAATTTTGGAAATACTGAATATGTTGTAAATGCTAAAGAAAATATGCCAGAGGTGTTTTCTTTCCCTTTTTGGGGTGGTTCTTTTTCAGTACAGATGTTTAACATGCAGTTAGTTGTGTGTACATTGTATGTTTTTTTTATTTGGGGGTAAATGACAAGTAAACTACCATCAAATTCAAGGGTCAAATCAAATTGTGTGACCCACATATATTTGAAATGACCTTCTAAACAGACATGATAGGGAACCTAATATTGTATGGCTATAATCAGGCATGCCAGCCTTATTGTAAGATTACAGAATCTATTAGAATATTAGAATTTAAAATTTGGCTATAAAATAATCAGTATTGCCCATTAAAATAATAATTTATCCATAATCCATATGGTGGTAAAAAATTGGGGGTTGGTTAAGAAAATGATAACTGAAAAATAACACATAAACATTAGTCAAAAGGTTTTGTATAATTTCCCACAAATGTGTATCCCAGATGTTACATGATCAAACATTATTTCGCTGGCAAGAAAACCCCAGTTAGAATTTTTCAAAAATGTCACCGGTTAATTTTCAGAGGTTAGATCATTTCACCACATGATCAACAGGAAGAAGATGTGATAATACATACACTAGTCATTAGGTGTCAGGCTTGTGCTAAACTATGGTGCTTTTTAGACACAAGTCCTTTGTGAAGTGTTATTTTTGTGCTTGTTAAATTGATCAGTTAGTGACATAGTGACATTGCAGCTGTGTTGAAATGTGAATTATTTTACAATTAAATGGTTTCCCCCTTGTAGTTACATTATTTCTATTTTTAAAAGCTCTCACCAATGTACTGTAATAGTAAAAGGTTCGGTGTGATAATATTATGTGCAAAGACCTTTCAGATCCTTGCAGGTGTAGTTACGTTTCACATCAAAAATGAAGGCCAGTCAAAGATTCGCATTGACAACAAAGACAACAGCTAACATGATTTAGCCACTTAGGAAACTGAATTTTTTAAACCTCTTCTCCACACTGAAGTTCCTCCAAGAAAAATGGGCTGCTGGTCCCTGCTGCCTGTTTAGATTTTTTGTGTTAGTACAAAATAAGATGGGAACTAAATAACTTAAATAGAAGAAGATTGTATTAGACCTTTAGCTCCAATTTTGGTGGGTGGCTATAAATGTTTTACTCTTATACCAGCTGGCAGACATGGTTTTATTACCTAGTGCAATCAGGAATTAATTAGACTGGTCCTGCAGGTGTGAAAATGACTTAAATTGTGACCAAAGGGAATTTTGATGTTCTCATTAATATTAAGTGCACACAAGCACTTTTAATTAAGTATGAGCAAAGTGTCTTTCTGACGGGCACATTTTGATGAATTTTGAAATATAAAATTGTTTGTGTAAAAAAAAAAAAACTCTCATTAGCGTCACAAACAGATTTTAATACTGGGCCTCCATAATGTGCATACATTAAACGTAATTCTCAGGTTAAACTACACATTTTATAGGTCTACTGTGTAAGACTTAATTTTTTATTTTTTTCATTTTTATGGGCAGAAATGGAACGTATATTTTTGGCTCTCCTAAAATTGCACCTGAAATTGAATTCTTCTTTACAAAGACACATTGGAATACATGTTTTTACATCAGTGCACAGTGGACACACTGAATATCTTTAGTGTCAGTGATTACTGAAACCTATTATATGTTGTTCTTCATGCCTGCTCAAGAATAGTGAGGTAACTACTTATTCAACCATCATGTGTGATTAGGATGTTACAAAGTCATACAATGTACAATATCTTATCCTGAGAAACAGAGTTGTTAACTTTCTGAGGCGGTCTTAGTAGACCAATGTGTCTACATGATTGATAAAGGTTCTACTGAAATTGTTTTGCATAAGTTGTGTTGTGAAAATCTGCAGTATTGTATTCCAAACTTACTGGAAGAAAATGCTTTTATAGGGTGAAAATATATGTAAACATAGACTATTTGGGTCTGTGGGCTCAAACAAAATGTAAGTCTTAATGACAAAATGTGTTTCCCTCAATTAATAAAAAAAAGTGAAACTTGTATGTTTTATGTTTGCAATTTGTATTTTCTAATTTCAGTTTCACCATCTGTCCAAAAACGACACCAGGATTTTGCCAAAAATTCAAAGAATTTAATTTTCTATAAAATTTCTCAAAATTCTCTCATTTGATGAGAAACATTCACACAAGGTAAAAATTTGAAAAAAAAATACAAATTTTGCATGACATGGTCAAATGGTGAAGAAAATGTTAGACTATAACATTTATACTAATAAGTATACAAATCTGATAGGTGGGATTCAGATTTGTATACTGTGTATTAAACTATAGGCGTACAAATCCAATGGCCAGAATTCAACCGTCAAAGAGTATATCGTCTTTTAAACCATGAACCGATCGCTTTAGCTATCAGATTTGTATACGGGTATATACACGATCATACAAATCTGATTTAACAACGGCCTTGATAGGCTTGGGTCTGTGCAGTGTACCAAATGGATGACGTACGTGCGTGAGGAACGGAAGCCGCCATGATGATGCGTCAGTGTAGGCGGAGTCTCTGGCTTTCTCTCGTCCTTTCTCCTCTCTGTCCTGTCATCCGTCTGGGTGTGGTTTTACATTCTGGTACCGTTAACAGGAAATAAAGCTCTAGTCTATTTCACTTTAATGCGAAACAAAGAAAAAGAAGCTTTGAACGAAGAAACAAAGGAACAAAGAAATCGTTCTGAAGAAAGCTTTCCAATAAAAGCTACGTTCGCTTCCTCGACACAGGAAGTTTTTTGGCGCCGTTGTTCTGATGGGAAAAAGTTTTTGTTCCTAACGTTAAGCAGTCGTTTTTCGTTTTAAAAAAACTTGTGACTAAAGCGATTGAAGCGTAACCGGAAGTAAAAGTATACAAGATGCCGAAAACGGTAAGAAAATACTTTTAGTATCCCTATTTTAACACTCTTGTTAGCTCTGAGCTGTGGGAATGCATTTTGCTAGTCTAATAATGGCACTCAGTGGTGAAGTGGAGGTACAAAAAATACAGGATTGGTTCATGTAGGCATATGACATTTCTGTAAAATCACTACCATGGGCGCGCACACGCTCTCAAACTTGGTACTTTCCGTTATTTTTGCGGTGCGCGTGCCCGCTCCCGCCAGTGCTCGCTAACGGGATAAGCGCCCTCAATCACGTCTCCCACTCAGACAAGCTGTAATGGTCATTGTTGAACCCAGTGGATTCACGTGTGTTAAGCTGTTCGCTTACAGATAAAAAAAAAATATGTGTGCATGTAGATAAAATATAATTGTACCTCAAAATAACCGTTTCCTATATTAAAATTTGACTTCTCGCGATCAGTAGACTTAATTTACTCAAACTTCTACCACGTAGGCTAGATTGGAGATACGGACATAACAAAGAGCTATTCTTTTTTTTGGCTAAAGTAAACACACAATGTTCCAATATGGCAGCGTCCACAGAGCATGTAAGAAACAGATGTAAAAAGGACGGGTTTGACAAAGGGGTAAATATTTGTTGTTGAGAGGACACGTAAAATGATCGTGTTCCATTTATAAACGAATATATAAAATAATGTGACGCCGTGCACCTTAAATTTTTGCAGTCGAACCGATGTGTGGTTGGTAACTGACTGATTCATGGAGATGAAGTAAAAGAAACGAATGAGGGGCATTAACGTACTAATGCTCTTACCTTCAGATTTAAGGTATTAGTAAGGTATATCTGTCGTTTAGATATTCTTTCCATATACGAACTTACATTAGGGTGTGGACTGTGGCTTCATGAGGTATTACAGCAACAGAGCCCCTTTTGACATAGAATTAATGGATGCTCAAGGGAATGTTTCATCAAGTATAGCGATTAGAACTGTAATTAAAAATAGATTGATTTATTATTGAACAAGACTTGTAGATATACAAAAGTAGAAGGTTAAAGTACCTGTGAAATATTAAGTAGGGATTAATTCAAAGCCATCCCACAAGTAAAAGAGTGGCATGGCTTGGCTGCAGGTTAGCCTATAGCTACCTTCAAAAAAAAAAAAAAAAAAAAAAGACAGACACTTTAGTCTATCATAGTCATATCATTTTTTGAGTTATTGATTAATTAAACCGTAGATTTGTCCTCTGAGGTGTCTTGATTTAAGAAAAATAAGGTGATTTTCTGTTTAAAATTTGGTGCAAGGAGTCATTATACAGTATACAAGACCTAAATCAAGGATACAGAAAGGTGTATATTTTGTTAAGATGAAAGGTATGACCTATCAGCATTTGAGTCCTGTCTTGGGGTGAACAATTTCAAATTGGTTTTGGAGGTTTTTTTCTGGTCTCACCGGAAAAGCACACCGGAAAAGTGAAGCTGTGACTCAGTACAAAGATTGCAGGAAGTGAACTTGTACACTTCTAATTTACTATAAAAAATACATGTACTAAGGGTTGTACCTGGGTTCTGCTGGTAGTATTGTTTGTTCTCATATGGCACTTCCTTTACATTTTTCTTCTAGTCAGCAAGGCTTGAATACATCCTGACATGTTTTGTACCTATATTCTGTACCCAAAGGAAATCCTCTTAACATATCAACATCCTGATATACACGTAGAGGATTCCTCTAGACGTTTTATTCTAAGAAATCAATAGTTTATAATATGCATAACAGAGGTGGTTAGTACTATTATTCGTATTCAATATAGAGAAAACTCAGCACCAAAACTGGTTATTTAAGAAGCACCAGTAACAGCAACAGTAAGATGCCGTTAAAGTACTGAAAATGGCTTAAGTGTCTTCCCACTATATGTCTTTTTCCAACAGCAGCATGATTATTATTTCACTGCCAACCTTTAATATCCTTTTACCTTTTGTTTTCAGCCACAAAGACAAACCTAAAATGTAGACCCCTGGATCTGTAAGTTTAAGACTGGAATAGTCACATCATTAGTCTTCCAATATTAAATGAATCAGAGTTGCGATATGCTGCCCTTAACAATTTCAAAATGAATAAAATAGTCTCACCAAGTTCCCAGTGAATTCACAACAAGAAATTCTTACCAGAAACCAGCGGATATATAAATACGCGGAAGTACTGCAGCTTACATCTGTAAATTCCCATGTTTTATTTAGTACTGTCCTTATGCAACTAATAACTGTCAAACTAGTCTGTTTGGCTACTATAAAAATGAAAAATAATTTTCAAAATGTATCCCGTACGCAAGAACATTTTATCATTAGACCAATGAACATATTTTGTATGTTTCTGACACAGACAACATTACTGTTTAAGAACATTTGGCACTGACACATTACATAATTTTGCAACTCCTTTTACAGTAACGATTGGGAACCTCATCGACCTTCAAAGCTGGTCAGACATCAGTCTTAATCACCTTACACTATAGCTACACCATGCTGTTATAGACCTGCCACTGTACAAGACAGACAAAAGCAATCCATTACTGCACTAGAGAGCAGCATTTAGTGTGAACAATGTAGCACTTCTGTTGCCCTTCTGTGTTAACGTTGTAACAAGCTAGCTCATGAAGTGAAACATTTCATTGTGGTAAAGTGGTATTTTATGGATAGTTTTAGATCCTTTTTATTTTAACAGTGATAATTCAGCAGGTCAAACATTCAGTGCTTGACAGAAGCTGTAATTACTGAGGGGCTCTGTCTTTGCCGGACTCCTTGGCAGTGCTTTCAATTTCTCTCAAGGAAGTCATGTTGTGACTCAAGGTTTCTGCTCTTACATCAGTTCCTCTCTCTGGTAATTTTCTTGCCTGTAGCCTTATATGGACTTTCATATCAGAGCCGGGCAGTTCTTTTCCATGCTCCCCTCAGCGTGGTCTTCAGCTCTTAAGATTGTGTAATAGCTGAACACCAAGATAATGAGCTGCTCTCCACGTGTTTGATAGAATCTGAAGAATAATTTTGGAGCTGTACATGTTAGAATGTAATAAAATAATTTGCTGTTTGTTTTTAAGAACAAGGACACTTTTTCATTTTGTGTTTTTGAAACACTAAAAACCAAGACAATGTTCTCTTTTATTTTGTACTATTCAATTAATAAAGATAACCACTTTGCTTATTTATTTACAAACTGTAAGAAGAACACTTCACAGTGAGAAACAGCAGAAATGCACTATACATATATATATACCTTTACATCATGATTTAAATGATGTGATGTAAAACACACATTAAAAGTTTTAGTTAACAAGACTGTCAAAGCCGACATGTTTCTGCCTTGAAAATAATAAAATAGTGAAATGTCTCTCGTAAAGTCCACAGGAAAAACACATTTTTAGTTATAGTGAAGGCAGCAATGGTTCAACAGCTTTATAGATTATGTTCTTTTGTCCCACTAGAAGATATGGGATAAACGAAGAATGAGCCTTAAACTGTCTTATACCAGTTTAAATTATAGGGATCATGTTCATATGTTTGGATCTCTGTAAATGAAGTACTTTTTAGAAGGGCTAAACATATTATTTACAATTACAAAGAGATAAAACCTAAACAAAATTTTCATTAAGTATACATTAAAGCAATGTTTTTATTCTTGTGGAGTTTTTAAAAGTGTACCACTGGTTAAACACAGGGAAGGAGGCAGAGGAATGCTAGCAGAGGATTAAATCGAGAACATTATTGAGCAGATTATTTTTGGGCTGTGGTAGGAACAGTAGACAAAACTGCATACGAGTCCTTTGCTGTTTTCAACTTAACACTGGATTTTTCCTCTACATTATCTTTGGCAAACAAACTTTGAAAAGTAAGTTATTTTTTTATGTAGGTTTTGTTATATTATAACGAGTCATTATCATTTTCTGATTTTAATCAACGGATTATGGATTTACACTAGCCAGGGATTGAAATATTTTCAATTCATTATTTACAACTATAACTTCAATATTAATAATTAATATTAATATGAAACAAGCATCGTGAAAAATAATGACTATACGTTTTTTCCAAAGTGCCAGTATGCCTTGTATCATGCAGGAAAAGACAACAGAGTTCATATTGTAGAAAAAGATTTGTTTGTTGAGTAAGCACTTGTTAGTAGATGTCCCGCTGTGGTATTCCTTTAAATGAGACTGTCCAAGAGCAAACAAATCAGCAGTCATGTTCTTAAGATTATGTTATCGTCAAAAGATATTTTGCAACTTTCTTATTACCACTTAAGGTGCTGGGAACCCAAATGCTTTTTTTACGTAATATTTTTTCTATTTTTTTCTTTCTTAAACATTTTTTAAATTAAAACATGCTTTAGGTTTGTTTCTAGTCTTTGTTTTTGTGATTTATGAAAACTAATAGTTGAAGAGTTGAATAGTCATACTTTACTCTACATTTTGCTTAAGCAAAAAAAAAATATTTTTGAACAGTCAATCACACAAAATTGTAATCATTTTAAAGCAACATGTGGCTAAACCACACGTGAGATAAATTCTACATTACATATCTTTATATGGTTGGGAAAATATGCTATATGAGCTTGTCATGTAAAATGTGATGCAATTGGGTGTTGGTGTCACACCCAAATGAAAGTATATTTGTACAAAAAAAGTTCCCTTTTTTTGAATGAGTAACAAATGTGACAAACTGCTAAGCAGGTTGGTTATAAATGGAGCCCTCCGTGTGAAACAGGAAATGCTAACTAAATGCTGCTGTAAGTTTGCGTGAAATAATGTCAATAAATGTACAAAATTAAACCTAAACACTAAAAACAATTTGCCAAATTTGGTGCCTGCTGCCATCTGGTGACGTTAATTTAAATTACAATCAATTTATTGCAATGCCTGAAACAGAAGGGGGAAAAAAATCATTCTTCACCATATATTTTACCAGTGTTTGGCTGGCCGTATATGGCCCATGTCTATTCTATACCCAGATTAGGTTTTGCTTCAGATTACAATGTTTGTAATGACAGGAAGTGACACAGTAGCAAGTATCCTAAACAGTAGGTAGGGTCCTGACACCAATGGGAAAGAACGCAACTACTAGCCCTGCAACTAGGAGATAATGCACACCATTGTTATTGAAGGCATGCTTAGGCCTCTTGCAGTTCCCCAACATTCAACCTGATTTCCTCTGAAGTTCTAAATAGGGTAGAGAAGGTAGAGTTGCTACCTACATGCTTGGTGTAGAGGTAGATGTTCTTTTTATCAAGGGGAATGTTAAGCGTCTTGTTAAATTCTGCTGATAAAAGATATCTTTGCATAAAGTTGTCTGGGCGGTAGAGCCACAACAGGATGTAGACAAATCTCAAGAGAGCTCCAAGTTTAGCAGCATTACCTCACAGGCTCCAGAGGATGTGGTTACTTCCTGTCCATAAGTTCATTTCTGAGAAAAAGACAGATGATGATAATTGTTAAATGCAGTGATAAAGATAAAATATGGCAGTTGTGCATTTATATTATATATAAGGACCGCAAAATGTAATAACCTTTGATTATAATGGTAAAGTTTGTATTTACTAGGGCTCTTCCTGTAAAACAAGTCATAACATCTGGTTGCAAATACATGTCAGTGCAAAGGTGTAAGATGTGTCAATAAAGAAACAACATTTTGTTGTTTGTTGATGTTTGTGGGTGGAGTGAAGAAAACACAAGCAAAAGTCAGATTGTGAGCATTGGGCCAGATAGATCAACAGGTTGACCCAACTGAGAGTACTGCACTCATCTGAAGACAGTTCCCAGTACATATTTTTGAGTGCTATAATGAAAATGTTAATCTGTATAGAATCTTTTGTTTCCAGTCTCACTCTGAAACTCTTCTTTTTTTATCTTCTTTAGATCAGTGTAAGAGTCACCACAATGGATGCTGAACTGGAGTTTGCCATTCAGCCCAATACAACAGGGAAGCAGCTATTTGACCAGGTAAGAGAAACGTTTGTCACGTTTAGTCACAATTGTAATAAAAATTGGTCAAACAGGGTGTGGGTCTGCTTTGTACCACACTATCAAGATTGAACTAATATAACAGTTCCTGTGCCTAGATTTGAGTGTAAGAAATATAATTTGCTGGACTAATCAGTACATCATCAAGAAGTTAGATCCTTAACAAAAATATTTCTTATTAGGCTAAGCAGTGAGGAAGAAGTCCCAGTCAGGTCTGCACTTTAGTACTTTTAGTGACATTTTGTACAAAAATATTACCTGTCCCACCATGGATTTAGATTTTTCAAAATTAGATTGCTATTATGTCGGTCATATCCTCAGGCTTTGAATAAGAATTTCAAGTCATTTCATTCTTTTTCTATGTTTAAGGTGGTAAAGACCATTGGTTTGCGGGAGGTTTGGTATTTTGGACTTCAATACCAGGATACAAAGGGCTTTTCCACATGGCTAAAACTCAACAAAAAAGTAAGATTTGCAGAGTTTGTGCTTCTCACTTTTCACATATTTTGCCAACAATTTGTCACTCAATCATCACTCTTTGTTTCAGGTGACCGCCCAGGATGTAAGAAAGGAAAGCCCTTTGCTGTTCAAGTTTCGTGCAAAGTTCTTCCCTGAGGATGTGTCTGAGGAGTTAATCCAGGACGCCACACAGCGGTTGTTCTTCCTGCAGGTTAAGGAGGGAATCTTAAATGATGACATTTATTGCCCCCCAGAGACTGCAGTCCTTTTGGCTTCCTACGCTGTCCAGGCTAAATATGCTGACTACAATAAGGATGTCCACGTCCCAGGGTATCTGTCCAGTGAGCAGCTGCTCCCTCAGAGGTAATCGGGTTTTCATCATCATTGTAATTACTTATGTGTGACCTACTTTCCTTTGAACACAACATGTATTTCTGAATGACATCTGATGATGATCTTTGTAATATTTCCAGAGTTCTGGACCAGCACAAACTTAACAAGGACCAGTGGGAGGAGAGGATTCAAGTCTGGCACGAGGAGCATAAGAGCATGATGAGGTCAGAAACTTTAGAATTGATATCGTTTGTTTTTTCCAAGTTTGGAAAAACTTTCTTTAGCTTATGTGAGGCCAACAATAGTGGAAAAATTCAATTTATTGATTTATTGTTTTGCATAATGCTCTGTAATCGAATGTGTCTTGTTCTTATGACTTCACAGAGAGGAGTCTATGATGGAATATCTGAAGATTGCTCAAGACCTTGAAATGTATGGAGTCAACTACTTTAACATCAAGAATAAGAAAGGCACAGAGCTGTGGTTGGGAGTGGATGCACTGGGTCTCAACATTTATGAACAAACTGACAAGTGAGAACCAACAGATATTACTGAGGATGAAAAATGGAAATATTTTCATTTCAAAAATTCTGTTTATTTTAACTGACCCCAACTGACCCAAGTAATATTTTCTACCACTACCTCTACAGAATGACTCCCAAAATTGGATTTCCCTGGAGTGAAATAAGGAACATTTCATTTAATGACAAGAAATTTGTGATTAAACCAATTGACAAGAAAGCTCCAGTATGTGAAGTATTGGGTTTACTTTTAATTCCAAGTCTGTCTCTCAGTTTCTGAGTCAAAAGACAACTTTTTTTGCCTTTTTAGGACTTTGTGTTTTATGCCCCAAGACTGCGTATCAACAAGCGCATTCTTGCCCTCTGTATGGGAAATCATGAGCTGTATATGCGTCGCCGCAAACCTGACACCATCGAAGTGCAGCAGATGAAAGCCCAGGCTCGGGAGGAGAAGAACCACAGGAAGATGGAGAGGTAAGTGCAAACATCTAGAAATATGATGAGACTTTTCAGGTCAAACTGACAGATACAAAGTAGTAAATCACAATAATTAGATGGTAACATATTACAATAATTATACAGAATTTGACATTATTGTCAGTCACAATGTTGTTTGTTTCTTTTTCTTACTAAGTGTTTTTCTTACTAATCCTTTTTAATAATTTAACACAATTTTAATCTAATAATCTGGAAAAAAATAGCAATTGTGCAAAAATGATTAAATGAAACTTTGATTCTGCCTTTTAGTATGTTCAAATCTGATAATAATAATAATATAGATATATATGTATGTATGTGTGTGTATATATATACATATTTGTGTATATATATAATTATTTATATACAGTATACACTATATATATATATAAATATATATATATATATACTGTATATATATACATTTGTATAACATTCTCCTAATGACAGACTCTTGTGTTGTTTTCACTTTGTCAGAGCTCTGCTGGAAAATGAAAAAAGGAAAAGAGAAACGGCTGAAAAAGAAAAAGAAAAGATTGAGAAGGAAAAGGAAGAGTTAATGGAGAGATTAAAGCAGATTGAGGAGCAGACGAGAAAAGCCCAGCAAGGTGAGTCAAGAGAAGGCTCTTACGTATAGAACTGTAACTCCACTGGGCTGTGTTTGTGATATTGGTCAAATGAATGTCTCTGCAGAGTTGGAGGAACAAACACAACGGGCTCTGGAGTTGGAGCTGGAGAGAAAGCGAGCACAGGAAGAGGCCGAACGCCTCGAGGCCGACCTGAAAGGTGCCGAGGATGCGAAGATGGCGCTGCTGCAGCAGTCAGAGAACCAGATGAAGAATCAAGAACACCTGGTTAATATTGACCATTTTATTTTTAGAACTACTACTAAATAGATGTATATAGATGATCTGATGCTCTACGTGTCAAGTAAACAAAGGTTTTGTTCTGTTGCTGTTTTGTTGCTTCCTTTAGGCCACAGAGTTGGCTGAGCTGACGTCAAAGATATCCCTCCTGGAGGATGCCAAAAAGAAAAAGGAAGAAGAAGCAACAGAGTGGCAAACCAAGGTCCGGTCTGATCATAGTACTACTTCATATTCAACACACATTTGAATTGAAGTGGAAAAGCAAAAATGTGAAGGTGTTAACAAAACAATTTGGTGCTACAGTAGCTACCAGTAGGAAAAGACAACGCAATGGGATTCTCTTAGATGATGTGACCTAAAAATAGATTGGAAATAAAAGTGAATTATTGTCATTGTGATACAGCACACCACTGCACACAATAAAATAGGTCCTCTGCCTTTAACCCAAACAACTGTATGTCTTCTTTTTGTTGTATATGTATATGTTGTAACTGTATATTCTTCTTTTTGTTGATGCAGGCAGCTGTGGTGCAGGAGGACTTGGAGAAGACCAAAGAAGAACTTAGAAACAAAGTGTTGGCGTCTCATGTGCAGGAGCCCCTGAATGCAGAAAACGAGCATGATGAGAATGATGAGAGCAGTGCTGAGGCCAGCGCTGAGTTCACCGATGCCGCCACGTACAAGGACCGCAGTGAGGAGGAGCGAATGACTGAGGCAGAGAAGAATGAACGCCTCCAGAAACATCTACTTGTAAGTTTCTCAGTATTGGTGTGTTAAGTTTTACAATGTTGGGTAAAGGGTCTATGTTTGTGTCATCCAATAATAAGCCATTTAAATTCTAAAATTGTATAAGGTTCCTCAGTTGAGGTGACACATTTTACTACTCGTAGCTTCTGATGAATATCTATGTCTTATATATATATATATATACTGTATATATATACATTTGTATAACATTCTCCTAATGACAGACTCTTGTGTTGTTTTCACTTTGTCAGAGCTCTGCTGGAAAATGAAAAAAGGAAAAGAGAAACGGCTGAAAAAGAAAAAGAAAAGATTGAGAAGGAAAAGGAAGAGTTAATGGAGAGATTAAAGCAGATTGAGGAGCAGACGAGAAAAGCCCAGCAAGGTGAGTCAAGAGAAGGCTCTTACGTATAGAACTGTAACTCCACTGGGCTGTGTTTGTGATATTGGTCAAATGAATGTCTCTGCAGAGTTGGAGGAACAAACACAACGGGCTCTGGAGTTGGAGCTGGAGAGAAAGCGAGCACAGGAAGAGGCCGAACGCCTCGAGGCCGACCTGAAAGGTGCCGAGGATGCGAAGATGGCGCTGCTGCAGCAGTCAGAGAACCAGATGAAGAATCAAGAACACCTGGTTAATATTGACCATTTTATTTTTAGAACTACTACTAAATAGATGTATATAGATGATCTGATGCTCTACGTGTCAAGTAAACAAAGGTTTTGTTCTGTTGCTGTTTTGTTGCTTCCTTTAGGCCACAGAGTTGGCTGAGCTGACGTCAAAGATATCCCTCCTGGAGGATGCCAAAAAGAAAAAGGAAGAAGAAGCAACAGAGTGGCAAACCAAGGTCCGGTCTGATCATAGTACTACTTCATATTCAACACACATTTGAATTGAAGTGGAAAAGCAAAAATGTGAAGGTGTTAACAAAACAATTTGGTGCTACAGTAGCTACCAGTAGGAAAAGACAACGCAATGGGATTCTCTTAGATGATGTGACCTAAAAATAGATTTGAAATAAAAGTGAATTATTGTCATTGTGATACAGCACACCACTGCACACAATAAAATAGGTCCTCTGCCTTTAACCCAAACAACTGTATGTCTTCTTTTTGTTGTATATGTATATGTTGTAACTGTATATTCTTCTTTTTGTTGATGCAGGCAGCTGTGGTGCAGGAGGACTTGGAGAAGACCAAAGAAGAACTTAGAAACAAAGTGTTGGCGTCTCATGTGCAGGAGCCCCTGAATGCAGAAAACGAGCATGATGAGAATGATGAGAGCAGTGCTGAGGCCAGCGCTGAGTTCACCGATGCCGCCACGTACAAGGACCGCAGTGAGGAGGAGCGAATGACTGAGGCAGAGAAGAATGAACGCCTCCAGAAACATCTACTTGTAAGTTTCTCAGTATTGGTGTGTTAAGTTTTACAATGTTGGGTAAAGGGTCTATGTTTGTGTCATCCAATAATAAGCCATTTAAATTCTAAAATTGTATAAGGTTCCTCAGTTGAGGTGACACATTTTACTACTCGTAGCTTCTGATGAATATCTATGTCTTGCATATATTTAATTTCTAAAGTATTACAGTATATTATTTTATATATGTACATGGATATATCAGTGTTTCCCACTGTGACTTTGATTTTAGGTTTTAAGCTCAGAGCTGGCCAATGCTCGAGACGAGAGCAAGAAGACGGTGAACGACATGATTCACGCGGAGAATGTACGCGCAGGACGAGACAAGTACAAGACCCTCAGACAGATTAGATCAGGAAACACCAAACAGCGCATTGATGAGTTTGAGTGCATGTGATCTTTGCAATGGCTAATACTATTGCCCACAAATCTGGGTCTTCCTGCCTGAACTGCCTTCATTACGCTCTTTTTTCAACACGCAAATAATTAATTCAATGACATGACTGTGCTGCGTAATGAATCAGCATTGGCCTGAAAACATGATTTTTTATTTTATTTAGACAAGTCATTGGTTGAAAAGGGAGATCATTTACATATTAGCACATTTGTCATACTGTCAAGGATGGGCTCTTGACTCGATCCAATTTAGAATTTTTAGTTTTTATTTTGTCACAAATTTCTAACATCAAGATTAAGATTTAGGTTTGACTATTGATAAAGATATCAGTCTGTTGTAGAGCATACGCTGCAGTGTAGCAGTCCCACTTTACACTGTGTTTTTTAAAGGGTCCACACTGGATGGGTGTGCAGTACAAATAAAGCACATAAGATAATGCGTTTAATATAAATGACACATGATAAGATGATGTGTTAAAAATGCTCAGAAATTAGCCACACAGCACACACACAACACATTCTCCACGATTAGCCGTTGGACTGTCAACTAAAATCCACTGATTGGCCTAAATGCCTTTTCTAGTGAACATTTTTTCAAGTTCTGACTGTTACTCCCATGTTATGGTCATTGTACCTGTGACTGTGCCAATCAAAAGTTAAATACAAGAACCATTTGCACTTTTTGCTACAGAGGCAAAACATACATTTTGCAGCTCTGGTGTGGCTTATTGGAGCTTTTATAGATCAGTATTATATTTTGCAAAGTATTTGGAAGCTGCAAGCTGTTACAGGCATTGAAGTATTTAGAACATATTCATAATTTCCTTCACGTTTTTGAAGACTTTCACATCAGTTAGTATTCTCAGCTCTATTCTGTTGGTATTAAGTATACCCTTTAATGCTTAAACCAATGAGTTAAAAGAACATGAATAATAATTTGTGAATCCGTACACAGGTAGATGTTAACATGAAGTCTGTAAAAAATTTGAAACAGTATTTTTTTTTAAGAGGAATCTTTGTACCATTCGTGTTTGAATAGTTTGTCTGTGAAACTGTCTGACCAAATAAAATATAATGACATTGTCTGGCAACAAACCATTTTTCCAGACAATTACATTATATTTTTGACTCTGGATTCATTTACATCAGATTTAATTAACCTTGTTTCACTGTTTGGCTTTTATTTTTTATCAACTTATTAAACTGTTGTTTACTCAACCAAATAGACAATTTCCTTTTATGATGAATGAGCTGAACACAGAGAATCCTCTGTAATTGTCGTTGTTAGTGAAGAAAATAAAAATCTGTAAAGGTTGACATTAAGCTGAACTCCTAGTTTTATCCACGTCCAGTCACTTTAAAAAAAAAATCTCAATGCAATTTATTAATATTAGCATTTTAACAACATTTTTTTAAATCTTGGGGACATTTTATTGTTTGACATTAACCTCACTTCACTTAATATCTGATTCTTGATTCTGTCTGAAAACTCAAATTGTATCCAAGTGATGAACATTTCTGTTGATTTTAACATAAATATATATGTTGGTAGTGATACACTTGTTTATTTTTAAACATATTTTAGACTCAACTGCTTTTACCCAGTGTAAACCATCTAACGGTGGAGGGCACTTTTTTGCATTTTCAGTTTATGCCACTAGATGGAGACAAATATAACTTACGTTTGCAGAAAGGTGACTTCTCTTTATTCAAACTAATGGGCTAAACCGTCTTAAAGGAGAAGTTCTACTCTAAAATCGGATGTTCTTTAGATTTACTAAGCGTAGCCAAATGTCCAAACTCCCTGTAGATGGCACACATGATACTGTTGTTGTATGGCTTTATGTACATGTGATCAGACGTCCTGCGTAATGAATATCAACAAAACTCTGGCCAAGGGAAGCTACAAAACCACCAAGGATTTTTAGTGGGTTTAGTCTGAAAACCCACCCATGTAAGGATAGTAAATGTAATTATTATGCACACACCCTAACTACTAAGACATGTATTACTGGGATTCAATAAATAGTTTTGATTAATATAAATACTGTATTGTAATATTACAGTGTAGTACAAAAACGTACTTTCATTCTTAAATGACCAACTAAAGAAAGTGATAATTAAATAAATAAAAATAATAATTATTAGACAACCCATTACTTTCATTCTTAAATGACCAACTAAAGAAAGTGATAATTAAATAAATAAAAATAATAATTATTAGACAACCCATTACTTTCATTCTTAAATGACCAACTAAAGAAAGTGATAATTAAATAAATAAAAATAATAACAATTATTAGACAACCCATTTATTCCTAAAAAGAAACCGGGAGTAAATTTCTATAACTTAGTGAAATTGGATGAAGTTGTTCTCTCCAGGACCCTCCATCTGAACTGTGTCCACCGACTGGAGACGTGGCAACACAGCCTCTGGTCATATGATTTTACTTCATACACGAACCCCACCCCGCTGCTGTTTTTTCCAAATATATTTCTTTCGAAGTCACACTCCCGTTATTTCAGCCGCATGTTTCAATTTAACCATCTGGCACGCAGATAAATGCACTGCAAAATGTCTCCTGGCCACCTCAGCACAAATACTGGTGCCGAGTTTTGCAGCGGTGACCACCCAAAAGAGTGCCATATTTAGACGTCCACTGCTGACGTTTACACAAGCTCCAAATAGCTTCCGTTTTACACTTGTAGTGATTGGACTGTTCCCTGCTTACCCACTGAGCTAATAGAGTGGCCGTGCAAGTCCGACATTCTACAGTTCAATGGAGGAAAAGCCCAAAGACCGGGCACAGGAAAAGGAATACCACTACCACGCAGAGGACAGAAGCTCAATACAACACGCCACTTGTGTGAAAAATGATCAGAGCAACTTCCAGCGGCAGCATCAGGAAACGCAGACGAAGAAAACAGGTAAGGCCGCTTGAAAAGTTAGCTGGCGTCTGCTAGCCTTACTCAGCTAATGTCAGTGAGCCCACTAGCATTTATTCGCTAACTTAAGTGAGCAACTTGAGTAAGATTCCCTTGCTGTTTATTTCAACTACGGATTGTTAGGCTTAACGGTTTGAGTGAGCCACCACGGCTAATTCTGGGCGACGTGTGTCAACTGACAGGCAGAAATGCAGCATCATTTTAGCTGTTTGGTGAGCTGATATTGCCTGACAGTTGTCGCTATTAGTCGTTTGACATATCGGGGATTGACCTTGTCCGACGGTTTTACCATCCAGTTTTCTTCTTCAAACTGAAATATTTCCTTCAAGGAAACCCATTGTTTCATTGTGGCTGAAATTCACAACCAATCGTAAACTTATAATGTATTGTCTCCTGTCGTCGCTATAGACATATGCTTGCCAGCATGTCTGTGACCAGTTTAGGAAAAGGAGCCGGCTCCACTGGAATGTACTTTGCGTCCATTTCCTGTCAGCCATGTTACAAAATCACTGCTAGCTAAAGCCACCGGCTACGTTCTCGATAATCTCCTGTAAACAACAATGATTTGTGACCAGTTGTAGTGGTCGCATTTTCTCGCACGATGGTTGCTCAATAACTATCAATGCCAATTCGTAGGACCATCTCAACCATCCGCTATGTAGATGACATTCGGCGGCGCTCGCCATCGTTGACAGGCCTGTTACATGTTGACCAGTCAGGGTTCAGCTTCAACATGACCAGCACAGCACAACGCCACAGTTTGCTACGACAGAATGGACTATAACCACATGGTTGTTTGTGAATTTGTGCTTTCCGCTATAAAAATACGTTTCCTCGCCTGTCAGTGACTTTCTGTTAAAATTAAGCCAGATATGTCACCAGACACGAGGGGCCTCAGTATGGGTTCCTATTTAGTCCTTTTGGATTGCATTTAAAATATTCTTTTTTTTTTAAAAAAGAAGCCCTGTTTGTATCAGGCATTTGCATAGCACTATTAAGTGCAATGACTGTTAAACAATGAACATAGTGTTCATCCATGTTTAAGTAACTTCTTCAGTAACAAAACATTTTCTGGCAGTTAAAAAAGTAACCAAAAGACAATTAATGGTTGAAAAACTACAATAATAATGACAAGGGTAATTGTTATAATAATTGTAATTTGATATCCTGACATTATACCATGATTGAACCTTAATGATTACACAGATTCATTCATTTGTAAAGTGACTTGACTGACATATCAGACTTGGTGATGGTACTCCAGCTGAAACGATAACCACAGTAACTGAGGTTGAGGTTACACTTAAAACTATAAATGAATGTTTTGTGATTTAACTATGGGTTTACAGAATACAGCATGAGCAGAAAAAAGGCCTTAATCACACCAGCACCAATTTCTACCAAAAACACCAGCCAGGTACTGATATCACACAAGGGAAACAACAGGAGCTTTGTAGAAGGCTTACAACTAAAAAATTTCCTACAATGTGTTTCAGATGTTGCCAATAGGTTTATCCTTTTTGTTATCTTTTGGTTCACATTTCAGAATTTGTAAATACACAGGTGTAAATATATTTATTGAGTCTTTTTATTTTTTGTGTAAACTGCTTTTGTTTACCCATTTCAGGCTTCAAAAAAGTAAACAGGGCCGACAAGGAGGCAGAGAAGAATTACCATCTGTCTGAATCTTTTGGTATGTCGCATCCCACCAACAACAATGGTACCGGACACGTCACTAGTATCATTGTGAGGCACAAGTCAACGCAGAAGCTGGCCGCAACTGTTTCAAGAGGGAGCAGCAAAGGTTTGGACCATAAGAAAAATATGGACCTAAAAAACGACAAAGAAAAGACCTTAAACTTGAATCATCACGAGAGCCAGACTTTGGATAAAAAAAACTCTATGGTGATACAAAATGGTGTTGCAAGCTGTGTTTTAATTACAAACGGCTATTCTAACAAGGACAACGATGGAAGTAGTTCTGAAGGTGGATATACTACTCCAAAGAAGCGCAAGGCCAGATGTAACAATTCTAAAAACACTGATAATGGGATGAAAGACAAGGAGAAAGACATGCATCTGGGCAACACTGCACAAGACTCTGGAACTTTTAATGTTGATGCAACTGAGAAGGGAGGGACTTCTAGACATGATTGCTTTAAATCTGCCCATAAAGCAGAAGCTCAGTCAGCAGCTCGACGGATTGCTGTGTCAGATGCTTCTGTAGGTGAACCTCAGAGGAAAGGCTCTGATGGAAAAACAGTTGGCAACTTTGGAAAAAAGAATGAGGAACGACAAAGAGCCAAACTTTCATCGCCCTCAAAAGAGGACTCTTGGACTTTATTTAAGCCCCCTCCAGTATTCCCTGTGGACAATAGTAGTGCTAAAATTGTTCCCAAGATTAGTTATGCAAGTAAGGTAAAAGAAAACCTCAACAAAGTAGCTCAAGGAGGAGGAGAGGCACTGCCTCCTCCTGTTCGACTCTCACAGGTTCCTATGTCTGCTATGAAAACTATAACCTCATCTAGCTTTACTAATGGTCCTGTTTCTGGAAACGGAAACAGCTGCCTATCGATGGGTACCTTCTTTACTCCTGCTGCTAGTAGTATTCCGCCAGAACCAATGATCCCGACTAATGACAATGTAGCATCTTCTTTGGAGAGTAACTGTAGCTCAACAACCAGTCCTGTAGATGGGGAAGTATATGAGCCTAGAAAGTGTACCCGCTTAATTTACCCTATAAATATGCAACCTGTGCTCCCTAGTGCCCGTCACCTTGACCCTCCACCTGCTCAGACGAATCAGAAAGCCCTGGGAGACATCTTCCAGAATCAGTGGGGTCTTTCCTTCATCAATGAGCCCAACTTGGTACTTGATGGAGGAGATGGAAATGTATCCACAGAGTTTGAGACTACTGTGGCTGCACCTCAAACTGAGTGTCTGGCAGTTGCAGCCACTACTGCCCAGCCCTGCTTCAATGTTAACCCGTCGTTCTTAGAGTCTGGCACATTTGTTCAAGACAAGGAGAAAAGAACTTGTGCCTCCTGTAATGTGTCTAAAACTTGTTTTCCTACCTTTGTGATGAGTGAGGAGGAGAACCTGCTTCAGCTATGTGGCAAGAAAAAGACAGAAGTTGAGGCCGAGGGTGCAGGTTCAGCTGTCCAGGCCTCCAGCAAAGATGGTGGTGCTAAACTGGTGCCAAGCACACTGCTGCTTGGCACCTCAAAAGAGCCTACTCACTCTAAAGACATTGTCAGAAGGTCTAGCTGGGGTTCCTTCGATGTTAAAGCTGCTGTCACTTATCACACTATAGGTACATTTTCAACTTTTTTTGCCATGTTGATTTAAGAAAAGGTAAACTTAATAGTTAATGTTTCTCAATTGTATTTGTATGGAATTACTGTGCTACACCACATTGATTATTCATCTAAGGAAACCAACACTTTTCCTTTTCCTCCTACACAGACATCCTTGAAGAAAATCAACATACTTTTACTCACAGTTAAGCAGTTGCTGCTATGTATATATATATATGAATAATATATACATAAACATAAAATGCACCTACCTCAGTTTAAAAAAGGAACTTACTGTATACTATTGCATGTTGCCTAAGGCATCATTTTAATGTATATTCATTCACATTAAACAAAAGGATCTATAGATGGATAGATAGATGCAAAGGCATCTCATGAAAAAGTACAAAAATCACAAATCTTCTATATGTGAAATAGAGCAATTCCCTGTGAATCAATGTTGTAAATAGAAAGCATTGTGCTGCAAAAAACTCAAGTATCTCATCTAATATATTTTATTAATTGTTTAAACATATCATTGTGGTGTATAATCTGTAAGGACCTTTACTAGGTTTATAAGAAGTCATATATGGGACTTGTTAGCAGAGATTCAGAAATGTTTTGTTTTCCTTTGACAGAAATTGAATCAATTTTCAACCTTCAGAAACAAGGTAAGTCAAAGCTTTTTTAAGACTATATTATGTTAATATATATACAATACTATATTAGATTATATTTTGTTAAAACAATGTGGTTTTTTATTGCTTGTTTTTATGCCTAATTTATTTGATTTTGAGTGAATCCTGTGGACTGGTGACAGTGAACAGCCTTTTTTATTCATGCATTTACAGCACCTATTTTTACTAGTTTTTCTCATGAAGTGAAGCCATAGCTGCTTGCTGTATATTGTGGCCAGCAATGAGCCATTTAACAAAAGGTCACTCTAGAAATAATTCGCAAATCCTTTTCCGAAGTTTTTTTTTTTAATTTTATACTTAGATTTAATTTTTCTTTGTTGTAAGATGATTATGAAAGAAGCACACCAACCAGATTTACTGCGTTCACACAGAGTACGAAGTATAAATACATAATACAAGCTATGATAATGTTTTAAGAAATACATTCCTATGGGGTTTTTTTTAATCCTATAATCAACCCTTGTAATGGGGAAGTCTCCTCATGTGAAGATCTCCATCTACTCCTGCCCCTAAATTTGGATAAACACTTGCATCATAATTTAAAAATAACATTTCATGTGTATGACTGCAGAGATAATTATATTTATATGAAAGTTAAGCTGAAAGACATTAACATTTTAAAAGGAAAAAGTGAAAGTTATGTCTTTGGGTCAAGGTGTGGTGAACCTCGTATGTACAGTCGGGGTAATTATTTGAAACTTTGATGAAGTCTTTAAGTTTGCTCACTCATGAGGTTATACTTTTTGTAGTAGTTTAATTTCAAAGTAGAACAACAAACACCTTAAAAGAACACAGCACTTAAAAGTTGTAATTCATTTCCAAAAAAACAGGTTAAAAGGTATTTATTTACAAGCAAGCACTTAGTGATTAGTTGTAAAACTTTAAGCCTACATGCATGCTGGGCGTTGAGATAATATTTTGAGCTTGATATACAGTGCTTATCCGTGGCTGTGAAAAGATTTTTCATTACGCTGCACAGTACAGACGTCACAGCAGTGACCATACCTTACATGCCTGCTGACTAAATGCTGCTAAATGTCTGCCATCCTCTTTCTGTTGTCTTTATTTGTGCTGACTTTAAAAAAAAAAAAAAAATCTACGCCAGAATGCACTTATAAGGCTGGAAGTGTACGTTTTGGAATCATTCCGACCATGACAATGTACAGTTACTCCCCCCAAACCAGTCTTTGAGGGAGTGCAGGCCAGGCTTCCTGGTCTTCTTCTTTCTTCTTTTGTCTTTCAGTTTACAATTGGCAACCGAGGTGAGCTTTGGTTTACGTAGATGATATTCTGAAGATGACTTTATGACTTTTGTATGTGTTAAATATGTACTTTTTGTACCTTGCTCTTACTGTTTTTCTTTTTCTGTTTTAGATCCTTTAAGAGTTGTGATTTATGATGGAACCAAGGATGGGCCCGATCAGTGAGGTAGATGATTTACATTATGTACCTTCTCCTCTATTTGCTGCAGTTCTCTACCCTGGCAGTCACAAATCCGTTTTAAAAGATAAAGTGACAGCTGTGAAAATAGTTTGAAGAGATAGATTTTTGTCAAAATCTCGGGTGGAATAATTCACTACAAGGGCACCACTTATGAACAGACACACACACACAGTGGAGGAACGTTAAAGGAGCTGATTGGTGCCTCTCCAACATGACAAATGGACCCCTGCACCTCAAAGCTGATTGTCTCAATGCTCTTCAAGGACACTGTTCAGGAATTGAAACAAGGATGCGCCTCCCTATGCCTTTATCCTGTTGCAGTTGCCGACTGTGGCACGCCTCGGTCACTTTTGTTTCTTCACACGTTCATTTAAGTTTCATTGTAGATAGGTTTTACATTATGCATACAAATGCGTGTGCGAGCTTGAATTTTATTGTGAACAAAACGGGAAGAATCTTTGCAGAGTATGCCTTTTGTGGAATACAGTATGTTTGCTGTCCAGCTAGGTGGAGGCCCTATTATAAAAAGGGAACCTTGTCTTTAGTAAGAACCCAGGAATGAGATGTTTGCTTGTTCCTCTAATAAAATTGGGTGTTAATGTAACAGATGTTTATCCACACTGCAGCGGAATGAAGAGGCAAGACTTCTACATCTTACCTCTTTATTTCATTGTTTGTTGCAAATAATTGCAAAAAAAAAAAAAAGTCTCCTTGAAAAGTAAACTTTAATCACTTTTAGCAGAAGCTCTGTTGATAGAAGCCGGAGAATGCAGTCATTATGAACAAGTGAGTATGATCCAAAATTAAAATTTGTCATGCAATTTGTGGACACAATCCAGCAGTTGTAAAGGAAACCTGGTGATTGCCTGGTGTCTGTGCTTTTGTTTCTTTTAACTGCAGTACTATTTTTCCTCCTATTACTACAACCTTTACTTTTTGGATCCAACATGTAACAAGTGACAACAGAACTTAATGTTAAAATGACCAAAGTTTAATTTAAAAAAAAAAAATCAATTTAAATTTTTCTTTTAAGTTTTCCTCATATTTCTTTTTTTTGGGGGGCGGCTGGGGGATTGTTATCAGTTCAGTGCCGACTGTTTTTAAATTTAGATCCATATATCCCTGCTAATATAATTTCTGAGTATAACATTAACATACAAACTAGGGCAAGAGACATTTCTTTTAATCTGGTTTCCTGTGTTTTGTGGTATTCATTCAGCTACAAGACCCAGGAGGTCAGTGCTGTTGCTTTTGCTTACATTGCTGTTGAATTTTTATGACTGACTGACTGATTTTTTTTTTTTTTCCCAGACTCGGCCTTTGGTCTTTACTTTTTAGTCTTACAGCATTATGTGTTTTCTCATGTTTACTGGCAAAAATGAATCAGAGGTCAGTGCTCATGGCTGAAACAAGGGAAAGGGTGATGACAATTGCAATACTATTCAAGGTTTCCCCAACTAGCCACTTTGTCAGACAGTATTGAAATGTGAAAATGAGTTGTACTTAACGTTTTACTGTAGATAACCTTTGCAAACCAGTGTGCAATAACCCTATGTGATCCATTTAATGCATGCAGTGGGTTACATGGAGCTATAAAATTACCACCTTAAGAGTCTGCTGTAACTGCAGAATGTTTGTTCAAAATGTTTAGGAATATTTTCAAGTTATTTTTGTTTTCTGCAAAATGGTTCCTATTTTGCTATCTCTCTTTCCAAATTTGAAAACTGCTTACCTGCCAGCTCAGCTGTGACATGACTAGACATCAACATCTCCCTGTTCATTTGCTCTATAAAATCTATATATTTTTAAAGCTGCAGTAGGCTGGAAAACGGAGGAAGGAGAAAGTTAATTTTACTGCAGGATGTTTAAAATCTTTGCTTTCCAACTATTGACAACTCTACATCTATACTTCTGTTGTGTTTGCTGGACTCATTTTTTAGTTGTCTTTTCAATGTCGCAATCATTTACTATTGCTTTTATACAGGGACTTGACCACAGAGTAGGTGTTATGAAACAGCCAGTAGTAGTGTTAACAGATGCCTCACACATTTGTTGTCAGTCATAGTGGACAATATAGTTTTCTCTGAATGAAGGCATTTTTGATAATGTGGTTCGTGTGGGACGTGTGATACTGTTAACCCCCTCACCCCCATTATGAAAGCCCTCCTGTATGGGGACTGAGCCTCAGTTGTAAATCTGTAAAGGACAAACTGAAGCATTATGTTGACACCTTTATGTGTGATTATTGAAAAAAATGACGCCAAATCCAGCCCGGCCTACTGTAGCTTTAATTTATGTATTAAAAGCACTTTATGTAAACGGAATGCTTTCATCTTTAATCACTAGAAAGATCTGTGTACTGACAAGAAATACTCCTTTTAAAGAATGGCTCTGTGCTGTTACTTTTCAGGAAAAGTTGATAAAATACAGAATATTCAATGTAACTCAGGTAGTGTTGATAAAGCCATGACTATGTTAAATATTATTTTTTTGCCACGTGGCCCCTGTCACATCGACGTTCTCATAATTGAAAATGTTGAATCGGTGCCCTGCTATTCAGAGTCTTTCATTTGACGTTAAAAATAGAAAGCTCTTGTGGCAAGCAAGGTGCTGTCATTGATCATACTGTGCCCTGAAAGTGTTCAGTGCCCCTTTAAGACGCACATCGCTCCATGCACTGTTTTTGAGACTGTAACCTTGCGATCATTGATGGTTGTTTTCCTCCTGTGTGTGTCATTGCTGTGCATCCATGAGCAGTGTTTAGGGGTATCACCACAACCAGGGGATGGGCTGCCGTATCACAGCTTATTGTTGCATGTGCTGAAAGTCAGAACTGCTGCCACTGTTTTTCATTTAAGAAGACTTTTGACTTTTTTTTGTCTGATTGCAGTTGAACCTGTCGTGTTTTTAAATGCTTGTGTTTAGGCTTCCACTGTGTAATGTGTGTTGGGCAAAGTGTTGGATCAGATTGTGACCTTTATGTAAGATCGGGTTAACAAAGAGATGGGAAGGATCTGTGGTGGCGTTGCTTATTAGCAGTTTGCTGGGTTTTCGTCTGCTTGCTGAATTTGAAATTTAATCTGGCATTAGGTTACCACTATTAGGCCTGTGACAATAACGCATTTTGCTGACTCATACATTGTCCCACAATTTATTGCCGATAAACAATTTTATTGTCAACATTATTTTAAGACCAAATTAACACTGATGTAATGATAAAATATAATAACGTAATAGTACACCCTTTCAAATTCAAATCCTTTAACCGATGGTACCTGAATGCCCCTTTTTATTTCCTATGGTAACTGAACACCCCTTATTACGGAAATGTCATTGAGTGGGCCCCTAAAATAAAAAAACTTTTGCGATGTAGCAAACTACACTTTCTGAGAATGCACACTATTTTGCCCTGTCCTGTTTGTATTTACGTTGTTGACCTGATCCCTCAGTGAATGTTGTCGATGGCTCTGCATCGCGGTGGTGCAGTATTTTTTTTCTGCTGGGAAAATCATGCAATCAATGGATTTATTGATCATCGTCCCAGGCCTAACCAGTATTTCCTTTCTTCTATTTGACCATAGACATACTGAAGCTGTGTTTCACTGCATTATAATGAACATATATAATAAGAAGGAATTACTTGCAAAGACGAAAATGTTTCTTGCTTACTGCAGGTGCCTGAGTTTCCGCTGTTGTAAAAGTACTGTGAAATTATGCAAATTAGATATGGTGTGTCAAAAGAAATATTACTGTTAGAGCATCGCCAAGTTCGCAGTGTTTTGATGTTTTCAGGTCTTGTTGGATGTCCTTCTCCCAAAAAACCCTGGGCCTGTTGTGTCCATCAGTCAATGTAGTTCTGTGAGCTGAGTCTTTGTCCCCGGGCAAAGGTTGTACAGAAGTTTTATGGACTAACTCTATCAGTTTTGTAAAATTAACAATGGTAATAAAAAATAGTGGATATTTTGGAACAGTCAGGATATTGGGTGGTGCAAACCTCCCTCCAATAATTCTTGTACCGTCTGTCCTACTCAGAGAGCAGGGACTACGACAAGGCTCAATCAGTGGAAACATTTTCATGTTCTTGGTCTCTGCAGTAGAATTAAAAAAAAATGTTTGTGCGACTAGCTCTTTATTTTCCATTAGAAACCCTTCTGAAGTTACACCATCATAGGTTGTCACTAGAATGGTCAGGATGAGCGCAGTGGTCACTTAAGAGTGAGGCATTTTCAGTGTAAAAGAGGTTGATCGATGACTGGTTAGTAGAACATGATGTTACTGTAGTCTTACAATCCATTTTTATTTTATTCTTTAAGATTATTTAGACGGTAGACAGTTTTTCTTACAGAAAAAAAATCAGAATCCCTTCCACCTGAGGCGTCGCTGTTTCATAGCACTTAATTAATGTGGTGATTTTACATTTATATAAAGATAGATTAGCAACGTAGCTTTCAAGACCAAAAAGGAGTTCTGGAAGCAGAGTTGATGTTTCATTGAGTGGATAGAATGAAGTGGGATATAAATAGATGGAAGGCTGTACGACTGTGTAGGACCACATGATCCCATTGGCGGATACGAGTGATTGGCTGATGCTGTCACCGACCCCGCACTGACTTCCCCTCATAAGGTGCAATCGCCTCCAAAGACACTGAGGCAGGTCTACTAGCTTTGAGTGGCCAGTTTGGCCTCACTGGTGATTTTGTCATTTGTGAGACTTTCTGCTAAAAGTGTCCCATATGAAATAGTCAAAACCTGGTGATTGAAAAGTAACCCCCTAGTGGTTGGATGAAAATAACAGTAAACCACAACAGTGTGACCTAAATGGTTTTGAAAAGAAGTGCCAATAAATTTACGTATATAAATGTGTATCAACTGCATCATACCAAAATCATCAGTTTTGTGAACCACCTCCAGTTCTCGCTATATCCCAACCTAAAGTTGCCTCGTCATCGCTGTATGTCCATTAGTCAGTTTGTTTTGGAGAGTTGTCCTCAGCTTAAGATTCCCTTTATTTTTAATACAGGTGAAGAAGTTAATGGGGTTTTTCTTTTAATATAAGACATTATTTATTTTCTCCTTTAAAAGTGCAGAGGCTTGTTGAATCTGTCACTGTATGTTTTCCTCTCAGAATTGATCATACTGGAGTGTGGTTGTAATCCTCAAAGGTAAACTTTAACTTTTAGGTTGAAGTGGATATATTGGACATGGGGTTTAACTGAATGGAAACTAGTTTATCTTAATAACCTATAGAGATTAAAAAAGCTGATTGAGGAAACTGTTAGTTGACACTGTCTGACTTATCAACGGTTGCATTTAATTACATTGGTAAATAAACAGTCTTTAAACCTGGAGTTTGCTCTACAGCTAGTCTTGTATGTGTGTGTGTGAAGCAAGATCTTTCTAATATATGCAATTGTTGTTCCATTTGACCTTGAATCTGTGTGAATGTGTGTGTGTGTGGAATAATGTACATTATTACAGCAACTGGGTTATATTAAAAACTGCTTCCAGCTCATACCTTTTTGCTAAAATGTTGTTCATGTTTTCTCATGGCAAATTTCAGAGGCAGCTGAAAGCAGTAAGCAGACTGTGTGTTTGTAGTAAAACTATTGAGTCTATTAGCTGACATTGATTTAAACTGTAGAGGTAGAGGCTGCTTACAGGTTAGCATGTTGGACGGTGTGCATCAATAGTTCAAATCCATTCAAAAACTAAATATTCTAACTTGTTTTACTGGATTATAATCCCATTCATGTACTGATGGACAACTAGGGTAATACAAAAAGTATATTTTGATTTATCATTTTGATAATTTGGTCTTTAATATTTATAAATAATGTTAAATTGTTTCTACCCCACTCAGATAAAATATTTAATTTCTCTCTGCCCCAACAGTAGCTTGGATCAGTTTATGAAAAGATACAAACTGACACTGGAATCCCCTCTTATGATCCTTTGTCATGTTGACATGTTGTGAGGATACTGTGTGAGCATCCAACTCAACAGCTCAGTCTGTTTCCACCAAAGGTACACTAACACTGTGGTCCAGCCGTCAGTGGCAAACACAGAGAAAGGGCTGTAGGAGGGCGTGAGTGTCTCATTGATGTCACAACCACTTCCCTGAAACTCTTTCTGGTTAATGTCAAAAAGTCAGTGCCGTGTCAGAGCTGACTGACTCTTTCAAAATGTGATAGTCAAAGAAAAAACATGATTAGTTAGGAGATCTCTTAGGAAAAGCCTAAACAAATACCGAAAAGTGCTGCTTCTTCATTAAGTATTCAGTCGTCTGTCATGGGAAATGCTGGATGTGATGTTTTTTTTTCTCCACTAATGAACTGTTTCCTTGCTGTTAAAATTTAAAAAAAGGAAAGCGATGCAAATAAAGAAAAAAGACTCAAAAGTTCAAGGCGGTCAACATTTTAGTCTTGAGCCAAAAATGTGATTTGGGTTTTTTTTCTGATGTATTTTGTTTACATCTTGGAGAGGGCATATTTTCAATATTTTAAAGCAGGGGTTCCCAAACTTTTGCTACTCACCCATTCTATATCACAACCAGGTTAACCCGCCACCAATTCCCCACATCTTTGTAAAAAAAAAAAAAATGCAACAAGCGTTTTATGAAGTCAGTATGTTTACTCATGCTCAAATGACCAAAACACAAAAAACACTCCAAACTGCCATCACTTTTTTTTTAATCTTAGATACCCTCTAGTGGTAGCTCCACACTTTGGGAACCCCTGGTTTAAAGCAATGACAAAATATCTTGATGTCTCCTGCAACATAACTAGAGTTTTTAAACAAAAATGATGGTTTAAATGGAGAACTTCATTATCTTCAGCTGTAACTTAACAACTGATATTTGGAGTTTTTTTTTCCCCTCACTGATTTTGTTTTTCTCAGAGCCACTTCTTCTTTCAGCTGTTCTCTTCAGGAGTCACCACTGGGATCATCTGCCTCCGTCTCACCCTCTCCCCTCCCTCTCTCCTCTGCTTTTACTCCCAACTAGCTCCATGTCCTCTTTCACGACTTCCACATATCTCCTCTGAGGTCTTCCTCTTTCTTGGCAACTTAATCTCTGACGTCCATTGTCCCATATATTCACTAACCTGTGCCAGTAAATGTGTCAATACATGAATGAAGCCAAATTACTTTGTGGGTTTCATGTGTCAAACTCCAGTGTCATTCCATCTCACTTTGGTTTTAACCAGTTCATTTTCAAGCGAGTCTTCACAGGTGATCACTGCACTGTGGTGGACTATTGTGTCTCTTATATTCTGGTCACAGTGTCAAAGATTTCTCATGTCTCTGTTTTCAATCACCGTTAAATTATTCATGAAGTGATGATAAGGCGTTTGGACTGAATCTTATTTTACATTATTCTTGTTATGATAGCAGACATGAAGCAGTCCAACAGATGATTCTCTCTCAGCTCGTCTTTAATTGCAGCCTCCTGGGGTTTTATTTAATAGGATTTAAAATATGTTTGCTTTTATTCAATGACATTTCAGCCATATTTCTGGTTCCAGATTCCTCTTTTTTTGTTTAACAATCTCTCTGTCACATTTGATTTTAAATTGGCTCATATTGTTCACTTTTAAAACCCCTTTAAACAAGGAGGCAATTCAATTTGATTTTAAGATTGACATTTGAAGCAAGCGGTGTGACTTTCTTTTTGTTGTCAAATTACACTGTTTTGTAAGCATGATAACAGCAACCCTAAAAATCCAAATAATATAAAGAGTCAATCAAAAATGAAACTCCAGTGTTCACAGTTTTAGTTTTCCATTAAATGTCAAATTTTCACAAGAAGTTAATTTTGTTGTGTGAGTTTTTGCTGTCATTAAATTTCTTGAGACTTTGACACTGTGTCTAATGGGGCTGCTGGGATTGGCTCAACACTGAGACAGAAATGGCTGTAAAAACTGGATGGCTGAATATGACTGGATGATAGGGAATTTATTATAATCCAAGTGTGAGCTGCCTGAGGTCAAATCCTGGTTAAATAAGGAAGGTTATATGAATGATACGCATTCATTCATATTCAGCCGTTTCAATGTACATTCTACGGTAGCAAGCTGTCTGATCGAAAGGCCTGGAGGAAGGTCCTGCTACACAGGCACTCGTCTCAAATCTGCCCCCTTGTGGCTGACTTAGGCACTACAACACTAAAGATAGTCTTGACCTTAGAATAACCCAACTTCACCACACACACAGGTGCTAAATAGATACTGTCTGGGCCACAGGGACATGCCATCACATCACTCTATTTTAATTTGATATTTGCATACAAAAGCAACAAAGTGACACGTCTTACTCATAAATCATGTAAGAAAATATTGTATTGCAAAGCATAGCAACATTTTCATAAACATGTGTTGGTGTTGTTTCAGGTTGAACGGGTTTTAGAGAGGTATAATCTGTGCTAGCGCTTTTATAACTCTGGTAGGAAAAAAATAAAATACATCTTTTTTTAATTTATATAATTCAAATTCTCACAACACGTTTTTAAAATTAAAGGCTGTGCTCCTGAAAAGCCCATGTGGCAGAAAGAAAAAGGAGGAATGTGTACACAGTCATATTAATCCGTGTTTGTATTAACAGTACAACTCAGAGCAGAATAGCTTTTACAAACATTATTGAAAACCAAAATAATTCACAAACTGACCAAGTATTTTGGCAACAGTGGAGAGAGAAGGACTCTTACTGAAGCAAAGACAGAGAGGGGTCTCTAGGGGCAGACATAAAACACTATACACTATATAAAAAAAGTCACACATGCTGCTAATGAAAAAAAGAGCAATGTCTGAAACCAGTCACAGAATTAAAGTCCTACTACTTGCAGCTTGTCAACAACAAACATCGGACACGTTTTACATGAACAATATCTGTTCCTGGTTGCAGGCTATTTGCCATTCCCAGAAGGTCATTCACATTTTAGTTTTCATGGCCTTTTAACTAGTTATAAACGGCAATTATTAGTGAAATTAAAGGCTATCCAAGCAGATGATTCTCTGCTGGCAGGAGAATGTCTATCAGTGTCACGTCAATTTCCACGCCAGGGGCTACATTAGTCTGGGAGGAAACAGCCACCAAAGTGCCTCGTCTTCCCATCCACAGTAGTGTTTCCATCAAATACTGCTTCTATTACATGGCTGTCAAAAATGTTACGCTTTAAAGAATGGTTGTGTGGGGAGATAATTGAGCGATGCACAGAAATTGCACATCCCATGATTATTGCCCATTAGAGCATTTAATTTTGAAAATGTTTCCATTTTGGGGAGCTTTTACCTTGAAAGTTGTATTTTATTTTGACAGAGCTTTTCCAAAGTGTCACTTCCTGGTCAGCTGCTGAGGAGAGTTGTACCTATTTTCTTCTTTGAGTTCCTTTTTTAGTGTGACACAATGTAGCACACTAATTCATCTTTTAGACTTAATTCTGTTAGGATCGGGGTCTGAATGACCTTTTGTTTTGAAATATTGCCAGATTATCTTTAAATAACAAAACTCAATCAATATGACTGGATTTTAATGAAGTAAATTAGTAAAACTGAAGTGCATTTTTTCACTCTGTCCAACTGCAGCCCTTTTTTTTGCACAAAA